TCTCCTTCGGGCACCAGCGTTTACCGCCGAATTCTCCACAGCGTTGCAGATTGACTCTGTGCACCTGCCACAAAACGTCACGGTGTCTGCGCACATTCGACATCTCCTCTTCCCCGGAGCATCGCCAATCGACTACTCTGTGCGCCCGCCAAGAAACACCGCCGCTCCGGCTCGGCTAGCTCTGCCAAACACTCCTATTGTGAATGCATCACCTCTTGTTCATGGCCTGGACGTAATGCGAGGAAATTTGACTCCTAAACTTTCCGGGCCCCTCCGGATCTCCAAACACCGGCCCCTCCAGATCGGCTCCATACCTCTCCTTCGGGAACCTGTGTTTACTAGAGTCTTTCCTGAAATACTTGCGACATCAAGGTGGCCTTCTCTGCGGGTGTGCAAAAGTCAAAGTGTTTTGTCCAGGAACTCGACACCAAACACTGCTGCCCTCCGGATCGGCTCCACGCCACGGCTCCTATTCAGGCGCCAGTGTCTACCACCGAACTCTGTGCACCTGCTAGAAAACAACTCCCACAGTCCGCCTTGTACTCTTTATATAACTCTTTTTTACTCCTCTTCAACTTCTCTCCTTCTTCTTGCCTCCACAATCTTCTTGCCCCGTGCGCCAAATCGCCCACGCCTGCTTGGCCTTGCAGCTAGCGCGTCTTCCCACTGCAACCTCTTCTCCACCTCATGCGCCTGCCCGAACGTTCCACCCGCGCCCCTGGCACCCTGCACGCGTACGCGCCTCCGCTTGCAGCCTCTTCCTTTCCACCCAGGTCGCCATGCGCGAGCGGACTTGGCTAAACCATTCAGGGTCAAAATCTCAAACACCGTGGCCTTTGCATGGTTGAGGTATAATGATTCCAATGACAAAGCCAAGAGGTGGTGAGACTAATGCTAGTTTTAGAATTGTTTCGTTTTGGCAGCAGAAGTTCCAACGAGCCTGGAGAAATAGGAAGATGCTGGAATGGAGAGGCGTGGAGCCAATCCATGAGCAGGTGCGAACGCTGGGGTTGTTTTTTGGGGCGGCTCAGAGAAGAAAGCAGGGGAGCTCTTGTAGAAGGAATAAGGCAAACACGCGTGGAAAAAGCGTGTAGTCTTGATATGGCAGTGTTGTAAAGGAGTATTCCCATGATGGGTAGACACAGGCATTGAGGCTGGCGCCCAGATTGGATCCACGCCTCTGCATACTAACACCTTCCTACTTCTGCGCGCTCATTTCCACTTCTGACGCCAAGCCCAAGCGAGCACAGCACATCGAACTAGTCTTCCACCACATCTTAGCTTGCAGCAGAGTGGAGCGACCCCGCCTTCTATCTGCACCCCCGCCTAGCTTATGCCTGTTGCATCACCAACTCTGCCCCACAGCACCTATACTTACACCGCCCCTGCCTCCTCTCTAAAACCAAGCGACCTGCACATGGGGGTTCCACGTAGCCGATGCAGCACACCGTGGAGTCACCATGCCTTCTGTCTGCTCCGCACCTCTTCCCTCCACCCTACAATATCTCTTATACTTACCCCATCCCTGCCCCCTCCCCAACCCCATGCAACCTCCACATTGGGAATTCCACGTAGCCCATGCAGCACATCGTGGAGTCACCATGCGTTCTGCCCTACCACTTACCTCATCTCTTGCCTGCGCCCTATACTGGACCCATCTCCCACTGCCACGCCGGGTAAACCTCCACATCGGGATTCCACTATGCATTTTCTGTTCCTTCCTGGAGTCGGCGGCACCGGGCGGCAGCCCTAAAATGTTTGTGGTTATGTTGGCTTCCAGATATATACCTAGATGCTCCATATGCAAACTGGCTGCTTTTTCATCTATCAAACCAGCCAAGTTCGGCAGACATGTTGCGTAGTTGGAACATCTATCTATATACCCTCTAGAAGTCTAAGACTAGTTTTGAGACCCCTGAAGTGCAGGAACATCCTAGACTCAAATCACCGAGTCAAAAGCATTAAATCATCTTGGACCCCCAGAGTTTTTTCTAGTAATCTATTTTCGAGTCCTGTCTCATCTGCTTTTCGTACATGTTGCAATGCCCACAATTTCCTATCTGTATAATTTTAAACATACAGGGAGACCTCCCAAACCTTGTTTCAAACCTCGAGTCGGAAGGTTCAGAGTCCTCGACCCAACCCAAACCCGTGGACCGCATGAGTCGACCCGGAACTCGCACCGAAAGTGGGTAGACTCGACCCATAACGCCTGTGACTTTGGGGGAATTCGGACTTTACAGGGTACGAACTGGAGTCCAGGCAGGATCATATTTCCCACAGTGGGTGAATTCCGACGAATCCATGCGCTCCAGTCTATTCCAGCTTGATGGAGTGCTTGGGAATTGATGAAAGATGATGAACATCCCTGAACTCTTGACCGTTTTCCGCGTGTGGCCTCTCGAACTTCCACACGAGGTACCTGCCAAAAGCAGTGAGGCTTCTCAGGAGCGAGTCAGTCATGAGTGAGTCAACGAGGGGATCAACGTGGATCCAATCATCCTTGCCCTATAGGGATCCACTGCCACCTTCTCAGAAGGTGTTTGGACCCTCTAAACCTACATCACAGGGATTCAAAGAGTGTCCTTTCTCACTTTCTCAGAGGGTCTTTGGATCAAATCATGCCTGGAACATTGGCTGCCTGAAAAGGTGACATTCAGGTTATCCGTGGTTATCAACTTTTCCTACAGGTAGATTAGCACCAAATAGTTTTCAAACCCCTTCACTTTCAACCACCATTGATTTAACATATAGTTTTGACCGAACAACCATGGTTTTACTAAGGATATTACATCTTTTGCACGACAAAACCAGGTCAACTATATTTTTTTTGGTCTTGGAGGCTAAGGATATGGCTGTGGGTCAAGACCCGGATCTCACCAGAAACTGCAGGAAGAGTTCGTAACATTCAAGTTAAAAACCCTAGCAAACAAAGCTGCTGTTGCCATTCGGGAGACAGAGTGCGAAATGTTTGTTTTTCTTCGACAAAATCATTATCATCATTTTCAGAATCACAATGATGATAAACAATACATTTTATACAGCTGTTTGACTGTTCTTGATGGAGTATCACCAATCAGAAGATCAAAAATAAGGATGAACCTACAGAAACACGCCCTTGGACAACGTGGCCAACTTTTTAGTTTGTACCTCCCATGCCTGTCACCCACTCGCTATTCATGAACCGTGCCGGTTGTTCTTGTGCAGTTGGGGTCATAACCTTGCCATAGATCCCCCTGCAAGGAGTACACCTGCGTATCAGTTGGCTTGAACTCGCCATATCTTTCATGCTTGCTACCGGCATACCCCTCCAGAATCCACATGCCAAGTCATACTCCCCCGAAAAACATCAACTCGCCATAAATTTTCATGCTGCCCACTTTGCACACATGTTGCACACCGAGGTGTCCGACTCCAAGCCGAATCGCTCCCCGCTGTCGTCAAAACATTACAAGCACAGTCACAGCAAATGATGAGCCCCATCTTATCCAAAATCTAACTGCAGAAGTCTTCCAGCCCTTGGCTTTGGAGTTAAGCGTGCGTCTGGTGCTTCGTGCCGACCCCTTCTGCGCAAGAATACATAAATAAATAAGTAGCTAATTTATATATATAGTCTTTGGAAAGCGACCTGCCCTACCATACCCACTCTAGATTCCACTGCATGAGCCCTCCCTGTCTTGCTTTCATCCGCGTAATTGAAGTACCCTGCAAGACTCAAAGAGTCAACTCGACGCCATGTATCAGTGCTCAATGAATACATCGGTTGCGACACAGCGATCGGTACGCATGTAGTCGTACACTCCGTGGAACGGCACGGCGCGGCAGCAGTCTTCCAAGCGCAGAAGGGGGCCCTGAAGACTCGGGGAGACCATGAGTTCTCCCAAGACCAAACAGGGGCGTTTCTCTCCTGTTAGTTCTAGAGCTCGGTCCGGGATGCATTTCATCTTTTGTGCATGGACCCACTGGTGATTTACCACATTCACCCACATTGTGTGTGTTAATTCGTGTACATTGCAAAGTGACACACACGTGTTCATCCCCCCTACCATACCCGCCCGCAAGAGCGAGTCTTCCAAACCGTAGGTTGACCGTAGGTTGACCTCCTGTGAGGTCGTCCATTCTGTTCCTTTTCCGTTGTCCAGGGTTCCCTAGTGCCATGACCCACAGCTATCCCCTATACATCCCTATACTATTATATCCATCCCCAAACAGTTGATGCATGCGATGGATGCTGATCCACCCCTGAAAACAAGCACCCCAAGCGAGTTGACATAGCTGGAGTGTGGCCAGTGGATCCCAGTAACCACTAGTAGGAAGGAACCAGTATTTCTTAGTCTATGGTATTCTATGGTTTGCTCGTCTTTGGACTCGCTCGTTTGGGTCTATAAGCAGCAACAGTGGATGATCACTGTTTACCGACACCTCGACAGGTTTTGCTAGGACAAACAAGATACGATACGGTAGAAATCTTTTAGTGGTTTAGCCTTCATCTGTGATACTGTAGAAATCAAATCCCAAACATCTGGGATATCCCAAAAAAACACGGAACACATGGCGGTGCTCTCCTCATATGGGCCTTGCGATCTTCCACGGATTTCCACGGTGCTTTTCCGAGTCGAAAGACCGTCGAGGTTTGGTCAATCAAATGGGATTTCTACTTTCTACATCCTCCCAGCTTTCTGCAACTGGTGACCTGGTGGCAATACAAGGAACAATAACTGAAGAATGCCGCATGGACTGAATGCTTTTTGAAGACCTGCCACAGCAAAAGCCATCAAAGAGGATCGAAGGACCCTACTGGGAGGGTTTCGGATGGGTAATGGAGGAGCATATTTTTAAGATTTTTTAAGTTTGTTTCACGGTTTGGTATTTTCTTCGAAGTCACTCAAATTCCTCAGTCTCATGAATCCAAAAAGAGCTGAGCTGCAGCAGCCTGGGACTTCAAGTTCCTTTTGGTCAGACGAACCTGAAACAGCACCATCTTGAGATCCTCCGTTATCCTCCGTTCAGCTGTGCTGACAAGACTCGGGGATGGTATCAAACCTGACCAGTTCTTTTGATTTGCTCAACTCTTCCAGGTTGGCTCTGTATCAGTGATTGGCTCCGTAAGTTGAGCAGTGCCACATGGTGCTCCTCGACTTGATGTTCCACCCTTCCCTTGACCATCAAAAAGCCCTCGAACAACTTTGCCCAACTCTTCACCTCAATGATATTCTCTCGCACTTCAACCTGGCGTCGGGCCGAGAACAAAGAGGAGTCCAAAAGCTCTCATGCCCGTCCGACCCAGAAATCATCCAGAATGACTTTCAGAGTTCCATCATGTTCCATCCCAAAGAGCGGATGAACCAAGCCCGCAACTGCTTCTTCGTGGCCACTACACCCACCCACCCATCCTTCTTTGCCATACATCATCCCACACAACAAAGGCGGACAGCCCGCGACTGCGCGCTGACTGCGCGCCGCGGTGCCCGCGGCGCACCGCCCATTCAGTCCATCAAGGATTTTCAGGAATCGAATACAAGTGGCCATTCGAAGAAGGAGCATCAGGAACTGTGTAGGATCAAGGAAAACAAGGACCATAATATGCCAATGACGGTTTACTCTTGAGCTCAGAAGCCTTCTTGAGGCGTCTTGGCCCGAGTATAAGGAGGCTAAGAATCAAGGACCCAACCATTTGATAGGCTCATGGCGATTCAAGGATCATGAAACACAATTGAACACCATGTTGTGTGTGTGTGTGTGTTTTTTTAATGATTTGACGCTACAAGACAAGGTCAACTTCTTTCAATTGGTCAACCTGAAGGCGTGTTCTTGGGCATCCTTTTGCTCGCGGTGTTGGGATGACTAGGATGACTTGGGGGTTTCCCGTGGGATCCGGTGGAAAATGGAGTGTACACACATGTTTCCATGGGTTTACACTCCCGGGTTTACATCATAAGTGGAAAATATGGAAAATAGACCCCTGGAAGACCATCTTTCTCGAACAGGTGGCGCCTATGAACTTTCCCGCTGTGGCTCCACACGGTTCCTCTAAACGATTTGAGAGAAGTACTGTAGACTCTCGATGATACTTCAACCCCCCAAGCCTAAAGAGGTTTCACTATCCATGTCTGGGTGGGGGGTTGAAATATCCTCCAATCAAGACTCAAAGACTACATAACTTGGGGGGTGCTTGATCAACACCGCCCAAAGAAGTGGACTAAGAAGAGGCTCCACTCCTCAGGCCTGTCAACAACACACTCCTCGTATATCATTTGGACAACGCCAGGATTGAACAACACTGAACAGTAAATCCTGATCAAGCAATTAACATCTAATTGACTCATTAAGTGGCTGATCTAAGGAACCCAAACAGGGACAACCTCATATTCAAAGCGGATCGGATGAGTGGCGGATCGCCGACTCATGGCCTCGCTTTTGAAACAAGCTCCGTTTCCCCCGTTCAGGTGCCTGTGGAACCTCTTCAACCCGTTCCATCAACCTCGAGGGAGATCCGGAAAGATGGGTTTATTAAGACCCTTCCGGTTCCTTTAGGAGGCACTTGCCATGTTGGCGTGCATTGGATTCGTTGGATTCGAGACATGAGGTGAAGCCTTCATGACGCTGAAAAAGACTTCCGCCACGAGAAGAAATGGACTGTGACGAAACTTGAAGAAACCATTTTACACAGGCACACAGGTTCCATCTGGGGATCTCTTTCGGAAGAAACATCAACAGCCTGACATTGTCCAGAATGGTCTAGAATGTCGAATTTGTATATACATATATACATATTTATGCATATGGTGAAAGCTGATCATTAGTGATAGTACAGGCTTAAAGTGACGTGTACCACGTGTACCACATTGCAAAACAGCCCGCGACCTTGGCCGAGCTCTACCTCTACGGCCCCAAGTCTCGCACTGCACCGTCGGCTTCTCCACTTGCCGTTCGACCTGTCGAGCGACGGCGGGCAAGCCGCGGCGAGCCGCCCGGCGGAAGGCCGCCGTAGTTGGACATAAAAGGAGAGGACATGGGTTTGACATGTCGTTTCCATCGGAGTGAAATGGTTTTGTTTGGTTTTGATATCCAGTATATATGGGCCCTTTTGATCTCCCACACACTCCTTCGAAGAATATTGTGTCAGCTCAGTTGACTTGAAAAAGGGGGTCAATAGTAATGGATCGGCATCGATGGATAGACATTATGGCTGTGATTGGCTGTGGGTCTTCCGGATGACGCCTGGTTTCTTCCCCACCGAACATGGTCACTGATTCCTCGATGGATGTTTATATAAATACAGCCGCATGGTGCACACCCTGCAGGAGGTGCAGATGGGATGACTCACAGGTGACCATTTCTCCAAAGAAGTGGAGCAACCAAAAAGAACCCATCCGAACTCATCCGAACTCTCGCTTCGTTGTGGGTCATTCGGACAGGGACACGGCGGCAGATCGAAGCGCAGCGGTGGGGGGATTTGGATTGATCCATATGGACACTTGACCGGCTTGAGCGGCTTCAGCAAAATCAGGATAGAGGGATCGGTGCCGGGTACACTGGTTAGTACACAACTGGTTAGGTTCTCTCCCCTCTCACTTCAGAATTCCCTCGCTGGAGCTGTAACCAGCATCTTCGTATGTCCAAAGCAGCAATGGATAGTCGGACCCGCTGAGAAGGTGAGCAAGGATACTCTGACTAATCGTGCCGTCGGGTCCAGTTGCACCGAACCTGAGGTGCCAGAATGAAACCTGACTCTCGAGCCTGACTCTCGAGCCGGAGCACTTCTGGAAAAGAAATCTGAAAACATGGTGAAACAAACTTTTCGCCCATACATTGCCCTAGGCCTCCTGAGAAGGTGTTTGGGGTGGGTGCCAGGAGGGTCCAAATACCTTCTGAGGTACTTGGAGGTGTAGGCTTGAGGTTCCAATGGTCTCTCCAATCACCCCTCCATCAAAGGAAAAGGCAGCAGGTGTTCTCCATGTCTCGGAACCAAACGAGGCTTCCCCGGTAGCGAACAGAGGCTCCCGCCTGTTGCACTTCCTCAGGCGAACAGCTTCGCGCGATCTGGAAACCACCCAAGGTGATCAAACCGAGAAAACCCGTCTCCATAGAAAAGAGAACATGTCGAACTTGTCGAACTGTTGATCCCGTGCGGACGGAATTGGGTTTCTGAACAGAAAAGGACTCTGCAGAGATTCCTTGTTTACTCGTCTTCTTTTTAGTATCTAGAAGCTACTATAGGTGTAGGCCATCGCTATTAGGTTGGAGGCCGTAACAAGAAGTCCATCTTTCATTGTTGAAACCGTAAGGATGCGTCTCACGTGTTTGAGCCCTTTGAGGCTCCGAACCACCTTGGCCACTTGCTTGACCATCTCGCAACGCGCCACCACAGGTACCTGGTGCTAGGTGGAGGCCATCGTATACTACAACAAGAAGCTATACTGTACTAGTAGCAAGAAGCTACTAGGTGGAGGCCATCGCTATTAGGTTGGAGGCCATCGCTACTAGTAACAAGAAGCTACTAGTTGGGGCATCTCGAGATCTTACCGAGATGCGACCCTGATGGAGGGGTTTGGGGTCTCAATGGGTCTCATATGGAGGGGGTTGGGGAGCATGTGGGTAATTACAGCTGTTTTCATATCTTTTTCAACCTTCGCATCCCAACCCCACTATATGACCGTCTGCCAAAACGTACTATCAAGTAGAGGACATGGTTCAGCGAGGTTATCGCTTTGGAGGGGGGGCCTATCGCTTTTGCAGGCTTGAGCCGCAATGTCAGCACAATTGCTTTTGTAGGTGAGTCCTTTTACTACAATAGTCATTGCACGTGTCTATATTTTCGTGATATGGATTTCCATGATGAAAGAACCGAGAGCGCCACGACTCATTGAGTGGACCCCCTTCTTTCGCGACTCCCGAGGCACCCAGACGCGTCGACGCCGCACCCAGACGCGATCCAGCGGATGCAAACGAGGCCTCGGTAATCTCCTCCACCACCAGGCTATGCGGCACCTGTGGCGTGAAGAAGGAAAGAGCTTCTTTCGCTCGCGCTCGCTGTAGTCGTGGATATCCTCCGAAAAACTGCCATACGCCCGATGAAAGGCCAGGGGTTGTTGACCTCGGGTGGGCAGAGTGCCCTGCTGACCTGGTTTTGCTTTATGTCTCACCCGAAGGGTCCAGGACCCTCTTGATGTCCAGAATGGCCTCAGTTCGACCGACCATTCTTAGGTTTCGTACGTACGAACACCTCCCAAAACGACCATCCGGTCTGTACGGAGGTACCTGGACGTACCTGGACCCGTCTCAATGCCCGTCCACGGTCCATCCGCAGCGGTGGTTGGCGGGCGTCCGTGGTTGGGTCTCCACCGCCCGGGCCTCCACCGTCCGTTCCTGATACTGGATGATGGGCTTCGCCTCAAACAGCGCCAGCATGCGCCAGTCCGCGCCAGGAAGCCGGGTGTCCACATCGATCCCCATGGAGCGGGGGAGTCACTCAGTTCGGGACCCTCCTGTCGGGGTGTCCAATGGACCACCCCACACTACCTATAGGCTTCCAGACAGGGCACCCCTTGGAGGGTCCTGGTATATCATCCAACAAAATCCTTCATCCGGTCACAGCCGGTTTTCAGACGGCGGTTCTCTGAGCGCCGAGGCAAAGGGCTTGTTCACCTTTTGTTCGGTGATGCGCGCGACCTGACCGGGCGAAAGGCCCAGGGGAAAGGCCGACCTAAGAGGTGGGACCAACTCATAGACTCAGGGCTACGAGAAGGGCCGCTAGAATGAAGTAGGACGGCTACAAGGGCGGTCGTTCCAAACCCTCGGCTCGGCCCCCAGAGTCCCGCGACTGGGAGGGATCGTGGCTGAAACCATCTGACACATGCTGAAACCACTCAGAAAAAAACTGCATGACAACACCCTTTGCCACATCAACACAGTCAAACAGTATATCTACGGCTCTACGGCATGCCAAAAGCCCGTGGATTTTAATGGTTGGATGGCTGCCACATGGCCATCTGCCACTATTCTCTTTCAACTTTTCGCGCCTGCTTCACGCACTCCATGACCTGGAGGTGAGGCACCTGACTTTCAAGGTGACTTTCAAGGTTCGAGTCTCGGGGTCTCTGGGTCTCTTTGGCCGATTTGTCTCCATTTTAGAGGACAAGGTGGATCCCGAAGTCGGAGAACTCTTTCTTCTTCTTTCGCCCAAGTCGAATCCAGAGTCCGGCTTCGTGGCTTCGACTGACCCAAAAGGACACCGATGCCGAAAGGCGGTCGCAACGGACGGCAAGACGCAAATGGTGCTTTGCCAAGACGTGAAGGGACGTTCCTTGAAATGGGTCCTCCCAAAAAAAAATCCAACCTATATAGGATTCTTCTCACAGCTCACAGTCTTCGAATGACTGACTTGCGACACTCTTCTTGCGACTGGGCTTCTGAAACGCCCTTGAACAAATCGGTTTTCTTGGCCGTCTGCTTTATTGGACTGCATTGACGGTCGGCTTCGGTCCCTGAAAAGAGACACCTTCCACCCATTTTCCACCCGGCACTTTTTCAAACTTCCAGCCCAAAGCCCGCCAGAGCTGTGAGTGCTTCACATGCTGAGAGCTCCTCCGCAGCCAGCTCCGAGAGCTAGTCGGAATTGGCTTAAAGATTTGTGGAAGTTGTGGACTGCGCTCAACTTCTTCGAAGTCGGATCTTCTGCTTCCGCCTTGTCTTGGCCAAAAAATACCCAGATCGCATCAGGGCTGCAGATCTGCAGCGCTGGTGCAATCGTGAAAACCTGCCCCAAATGAAAGGCAGCACGCATGGCAGCACCATCAAGATCATCAAAAGAAGTCTTCACTGGCTAGAACTGCTAGCTCATTCACGCTTTGCTCAGCTCCGCTTCTTCTTAGCACATTCAATATCACCGCCGGGGTGGCTAGACACTGTGGCCCAGCAAGCCCCCCACGGCCCCAGATCAGAAGCACTGCCGTCTTGCGCATAACAAACCACGAACCGACGAACGCGGGTTCCGTCCGTCTCTAAAGAGTTCCGATCTAAAGTCCACAACCTGCAAAAACCAGATCCATCAAGCCCCTGAAGATCTTCTTCTCTCTTAAAAGAAACACAATGGGCAGTTTGTGTGCCCCAGTGTTCATGAGTTTTTGTATTTTCATGACAGATGGCGGACGGATCTTGCAGGTCGGGCGGCCGAAAAGCCTTTAAACAAGTTCTCACGCACCCCGTTTCGAGCACTCAATGGTCGTTCCAAAGTCTGGTCCAAAGGCGTCCACGTTGAAGGAAATCACGCGTTGGCATCGGTCTTTGGACATGTGGATCTGATCCTTCCCAAAGATCTCCGAGGCCTGGATCGAAACCACACGTTTACTCCTCTGCCGCTCCTTGGAAGTCTGAATTTGGGTCTCAGCCTTCGCTTTCTGCGCGTCGCGCTCGTCGCTCTGCATGGTCGTTCCACCGGACCGCCGCGACAAGTCGGTCACTCGTGTCGTGCCGGAGCTGCGGAAGTTCGGGCACCGTCTTTGAGGGGTTTTCTTACATACGTCGTTGGCGTTTTCAACCAAAAAAAAAGCGAACGGATATGAGTCAGAGGGTCCTTCTTCATCCCCAAGTAAGGGGTTGAATTGGAGGGACCTCCTTGGCGCAATGGAGTTCGGTTGTTCATTGATTCTACCATGAAGAAAGAACTGAGAGGTTTCTCCCTAATGATTCAATTGCACACTCATGTGAGACGGGCACCGTGTAACTCGATCCGCTATGCATTTGATGTGCCATCATGAGCTACAGTGGGCGCAAAGTTACATTCAAAATGTCGAGGACATGGAAAACCCCAGCCTCCATGGCAATTTCGCGATGTAGCGTGGTGGGAACCTTGGGTCAGGCGATTCGATCAAGCACACAGGGTTGGCCGAGGAAGATTAAACAAACATGACATGACAAACTCCCCAATCCAACTTCCGGATCTTGCAGAACGTTGAACTAAATATATAATAGATTAAAGAGATCCGTTCAGACATATGCGGGAGTCCTTCCTCTCTCAAAAGGAGTCCCTGTCTTTTTCACAGGGTTGGTCTCCGGGTCCTGATAATGACATTTCCACTTACCAGGATGGACAAGGGTGTCCTGGCGTTCGACTACCCTACCCTACGTAAACAGGTCGACAGGGCACCCGGACAGGAAGTGCTAGGTACCCGGACAGGGATATGTCATGTCCATTTCATTTCGACACGACGACTGCCCGCCTCTTGGACAGTCTCACGGCCCTCCATCACTGGCAAGTGCACCTAGCGATCTCCAGGCTTCATGGAGGGTGGAGTTCCGCGAAATAAAAAAACGACATGGTGATGATCATGAATGTGTATATGACCAAAGCATTCAAGATATGTGTATTCATGAATGTGCCAAAAGATATCTGTTGTATTCCTTTGTATATTTGTGTACAACAGAATTCACAGCAAACATACTTTTATACCAGAGCACCATGTGTCTATCAATTGGCAGGGGATTCGGGGTGTCCATTAACAATTTCAGGGAGCTTGACATGAATTCCTCTTTCGTACGTGCTTGCCTGACTTTATTACGCACATATGTAAAACACCTCTTTTCCAAAGCAATCTCTTCACAAAAGTCTTCTACTGTTGATATACGCCTCTCTCTTTAAGAAAAAAAACGCATGGTCTATTCCTTTCCTTCATTGAGATGATGTTTCTTTACAACACTTTGCTTTGCCCTGCCAGAAAGCCGCTTCCAAGAGTAACTTCCAAGAGTCCCAAGTTGTTTATCCACACCTGATCCTTGCAACAAAGGTAACTTCCAGCATCTCGTGCTTCATCTATGGTTCTTTGAGGGCCCCACCCTGTTTGTGTTTCTTTTCCGTGTATTCTCTATTGCAGATGTTTCTTCCTTTATATAAAGGATCGTCTCCTGATCCAATGGCCTTCTCCTCTGCAAGAAGTCCTCCTCGCTGCCCAAAAAACTGCCGCATCTATCTTCTATGGGAAAAAACGAATCCTCCATACGTCCACAACTGCCAGAAACCTCAGATCTGCGGAACATTCTCAAGCCTATTGACGACAATCAATCAACATGTACTATGCAAGAGTTGGCTCTACACAGGTCCCAGTCCTGGAAGATCAAAAGGAATTGATCCCTGATACTGCATTGTTGACATTGGACACGCAAAAAGCTCCTCTGAATACAGTTCATTGAACAAGAGCTTCACTTATAGACAAAAACATCGAACTCCCAGCTCCAAGAAATAAAACAGTGAGCAAACAACCTCCTTTGAAAAAAATGACGACTCTTCCATACACATAAAGTCTTTGTACAGTGGCTATTGTGTTTAGCAATCACATCGCATATGTTCAGTCCATTTCACCTTCACCTTGTATGCTTCAAGAAGTGGATCCCAAACAAAACTCAGAATCGTGAGGATGTCATTGTTTGATTATTGTGCCATAGAACATGCATTGTTATTGAAGAGTTAACATTCGATAGTTCAATCATATTAAAACAATTTGCAAACTTTAGGAAGCAAACACGTTGGAGGTGACGTGATAGGCGGCCCCAAACTTCTATGTCCTGATACACCATGTAATACACGTCTGTCTCTGTCTCTGTCTCTGTCTCTCTCCCTCTCTTTTTCCTCCCTCCCTCCCTCCCTCCCTCCCTCCCTCCCTCTCACTGTGTATATGTAGCTGGGTAAACCGGTCCGTCTCCTGGTGAATTTCACTCACTTGACCATCGATCTTGACCCAATTTCTGCCACTTAGATGTGCCACATGCGAGGCGTCTGAGCTGTGAAGGACCCCCTTTTGCATGTTTTTGCTGTCTTTCGGCCGGCGCCTCCTTCACCACCTCCTCGTACTGCACCGATGGCACCTGGCGTAGGGTCTCGATCACCTGCGTTTGTGGCACCTCGGCGAGAGCACGGCAGGCCGCTGGAGGGTCACTCCAACTGACCCTCCGTTTGGGGTGCCTATGTATAGCCCCTGAACGCTGTGATATAAGGGGTGTCCATTCACCACCCCAACTGGGGGTGCTGGTACATTCAATTCAAGCTTAAAAAGTGATGTTTCTTGAAGAAGAACGTTTCTTGAGTCCAGTGAAGTACAGTTATGTACATGATGCCTTGACACCCTCTCCATCTATTCCCAACTCACGATTGAACCTCATGTGTCACCTTGGTCGCGAAAGAAAACACCACGCTGCCTCGATGACCTTCTCATGAGTGATGCGGGCAATCACCTCTTGCACCTGCGGTCACGGCGGCTCGGTGTCGCGCGACACCGCGCGTGGCTCGACCCGGCGCCGCGACCGAGCGCGCCTGCTCGGAACATTGATATTCCGGCACCTGGACCGCGGCCGTGGTGACCGAGGTTCGGTAGACCGTCCGAGTCGGGCGCGCGTGTTTGGCCGGTCGCCCAGTCAAGACAAGAAAGCATCACGCATCGGACGCGACTGGTGGGATCAATCCGAGACCGGTCCCGAATTCCGGAGAATTGGGGTGACTCACCACCTGCGGGGTTAGGAACCGACCCGGACGTTCGACCGTCCAAACGTCCGTCCGTCCCGCGTGTTGGATGCGGAGATCGGCGGCAGATCCGGCCGTCCGGGTTGTCACGGGATGTCACGGGTAGATCTTCGTAATGAGCACAGTCAGTGGTGGGAAAAGCGAACTGACGAGGAAGAGAGCAGCTGATTCTGTAATTTGTCTTAAGTCGCCTTGGTTCTTGGAGTCGTCAACGAGAGAGCAAGAGGGACCCTCAGTAGGTTGTGGTTTTCCATAATTAGTGTTCATTTAGTTTTCATGTTTGTCAACTATGTAGTATAGAAATAAAAGTTCTTGCCCAAGCAATAGTGCCTCCACATGCTTCTCGATGGTCTTGTACTCCGGTTTTTGCTTCACCTCTGCCAAAGACGTGGACAAAACCGTTGACAAGCTCTAGTACACCAATTTATTTCGACCAAACAGCATGGCAACTTCCCATTGCCCGAAGGCGAAACTCCTCTAGCAAACCAATTGTCTTAGCATTTCTTAGCATTTTGTCCTGAATTTTCCTGAGCTCCCAGCAATCGTGTGATGTTCCACGATTTCCCTCGGAAGCTCCTGAAATCTTTCGCCCCAAATCACGGTGTCACGGGTCTTAGGCCCCATCTTCGACCGGGAGCTGACTGGGACTGGGCGTTCTTCAGCGGACTTCTCATGTGCGGCTCACTGCAGCTCCGGGCAGAAAGTACACGCAAAAAAAACATGTTGCCCCAGGAGCCGAGGATTCACCTCACAAACCCAAACGCGACCCTGTCTGGACCTGTCTGGAACTGCCAGATTTTTGGGAATGGTTTCAGGGTGCTTGGTGTTTGTATGCCATAGCCATTGGGATGCTTGGGATATATTGGGATGGGGTATGATGTGGGGTATGTGCAGATCTTCCAGTCCGAAGTCTCGTGCCTCGGGGTCCACTCAACCGACCACCGCCCGATCGTCCAGGTCCTTCATGACATCCTGCACCGCGACCTCAGAACGAGGGGACCAAACAAGAAAGAAATGGATGGAAGGCCCCAGTCCCAGCCACTTCCTATGCAAAAGATCTCAAGCAAGCCATTTTGGAATAACCAGTTAAGGTATATTTGTGGTTGGGACTGGGGTTTCCAGTGGGTCTTCCTAAGCAGGTGAAGCGTCTTTTCTTCGTTCCGAGTCTACTATAGCTGGAGGTCCCAAAAGCATGGCGAGCATATTTGTGTGCAGCGAAGTCGACAGGTCTCCAAAAGCGTTTTGAAGAAGTCTGTCGCTGGGCTCCAAGAAGTCTATCGCTGGTTGCAAAAGAGCAGAAAAAGGGTGGCCCTTCAGCTCAGGGAGCAAGACAGTTTGAAGGCGGAGCCCATCCAAAACGAAGACCCAAGATCAATTGGGAAGCCCCTTCCAAATGGTCTGGGGTGGTTCTGAAACCAACCAAAACATTCCTATATTGTTCCAGAAGGTTGAAGGTTGTAAACATTCCTATATTTAAAACAACCAACCAGCTGCACTGGACATCAGAAACTATACATTATCTATATACCATGGAGAGTTTCAAGTTCGCATCCACCTGAGCTCAGAACCAGGGTCCCATAAGGAGCCGCAGCAGGTGCCTCTGTGGTTTGGCTTTGCGGCTTGGCCACGCTCAAACATCTGAAGCTTGGTCATGCGTTCCCAGAAGCAATGGCCACCACCTTCCCACCAAAGAGCCAGCAACAAACGACAAAAAAAACAGGTCGGCAGGGCGGGGTTTAGCCCGTACCTGTGGCGCTCGTGTGGACGGGATCACCTCATCCAAAGACTCTGGCAAGTTGGCATTATCCCTCCCTAAGAATCCGGGCCCCTTCTCCAATGGGAAGGGTTTGGAGGTCGCATCTGACCTTGGTGGAGGGGTCAAGGATTCGTAGGGCTAGAAGTATCCTCTAGACTTGGGTCTGACCTTAATAACTGCCACTATAGCTGGCCTCAAGGTGTCCAGGACCCTCCGTTTCTCGGATGTCCGACCTTTCTTCGCTCCAGGGAAGACCTTTCTTTGGAAGTATGTACTCACCTCCGGGAAGACCATTCCATCTCAGGTCCCAGGACCCTATGACTGTTTCAATCCTTCTTTGTCTTGGCTAGCCCACTGAAAAAGCTTCGAACATAGGGCACGCCACAGGCTCGGCGAGGGGCTCCATGTGGCTCCAAGTCAGCGTGTGTTTCTGTCACCGCCACGTCACGTGGCTCCAGCCGATCATCTCAGCTATGTATATAGATCTATTATAATAAGATCTCCTTCAAAAAGGGTCGTGTTCGATTTGTTGGGTTTCTAGGAAAGCCCTCGTTCGGTGCGTATTCATCGGGCGTATTCGAGCGTCGTGGATGGACGCCCCTGGTGGAACCACTTACCGGGGATCGGCGATTTTGGAGTGTGTTTTGTGACGTCAAAAGAAGACCATCGAACATGTCCAGCAGTTCCTGGCGATGTCTGTGAGGAAGATTTGGATCTCACATCCGAACTGTTTTAAATCCGAGAAGCAGCTAGGAAGTTGATGGAACTTGTGTATTGAACCGCGAGTTTGGAGCGCCAACTCGCGTGCTAAAATAGCTGTTGCGGTGCCATGCCTGGATCTCAACGCGACGTCCGACGTCCTTGCGTCTTTCCGATATGTTGGGCCCACGGCTGGCGCAGGCGCACAGCGTTTTAGCGCGGCGTTTTGGCATGTTCTGGATCTGATCAACGACCCAGCTGTGAAGCTTTGACCTCCAGCTGGAACCATTCCCTACATGGAACGAATTCATGGAACATCACCAAACAACGATCGATCATCGTCCACATCGTCACATCGGCTTTCCGAAGAACGCGGCCCATTTTGGCATGGAGCAACTAGCAAATTCAGAGGCATTGGGCATATATTTTGCTCAACACCACTCGCTTTCACCTTAGAACCTGCCGCCCGGCTTGAACCTGCCCGCCCTCTGAGTGTTCGCAGCTTCGCTCACACCCTGTCCAGGCGGTGAATCTGGCAGACGCAACGGGTGAAAACGTCCGATCTGTGCTGCTTCAGTGGAACACTGGCCCTGTTTGCTTCTGGGCTTCCGGTCAACCGTTGCTTTCATGTTCTCCAACAAAGCACAGAAATCCGTGAAAATGCTCCACTTGTGCAGCTCTAGTTTTCTTGCTGCGTCGACGACGCTATCAGTCTGCCTGAAAGGCAAAAAGACCCAAACCTCCAGGAGTCACCATGAAATGAAACCGACAAGCAGGAACCAGACTTGGGCTCTGATTCACGGGGTAGCTTGGGAGTGCAAACTTCACGAAGGGAAGGCCAGGCCAGGCCATTTAGACATGTATAATCTATACTATACAGGAAGACCACTTTCTACGAACAAGCTCATACTTCCAAAGACCATGTTGCCCACAAAGGTCTCATGTGGCTCATGGGACTTTCAAAGACGTTGCACGCTATGATGCACTTATGTTACTCGTAGTAAGAATGCTCCGTTCGTAGTAAGGCCAGGAGCTATTACTAGTAGCGTTCTTGCTCCTAGTACCTCCTTAGTAGAAATTTGAATGGTAAGCTCACCGGTGGATCTTGACGTGGCCGAATTGGCTTCGTTTCGCCTGCTCACATGCGTCGAGGCACCTGAGGCATCCAAAAGGAATGGTCAGTGGAAATGATGTATAAATCAAAAAATAAAGGCACAGGGTGGTGTGATACCGCTGTCGGTAGTGGCACCGTGCACACCTTGATACACCCTATTCTAGTTTCCAACCCTAAAAATAACCTGGTCGGTCAACCGGGCGCAGTGCCATGACTCACCACCATACCGGCTTGGGGAAGCAAGCTTTGCCGGAAGCTTTACCTGTGCGTTCCGGAAGAGTCTTGGAGAGGGTTTGCAGCAGTGCGACCTCGCTCGCGCAGCTGCACTCGGTTTGCTGGTTCCTTCATGGACGGAGGTCGACCGGTCGGCTCGTGTGTCTTCGTCTTCGGCGTCTTGGGAGCTACCGAAGCTCCGTCCGTCCGTCCGCAGTGGATCCCTGACTTTCGCGTGAACACGAATTCATGTTCGTACCCTTCCTCACTGGACCAATTCAGGAAGCAGCCTGCTTTGCCTAGGGGTGACGAAGAAGAATCAATTGGAAAAATAGGGTCCGACAAAGACTTAGGAAAACCATGGAAAAGCTGGACAACTGGACTACTTGAGGCCACTCTTGAGACCTTTCTGAACCCGGCCACTAACCCGGCCTGATTTGCACTCGTTGGTGCAGCCTTTGCTTGAGGCACGTAGGTTCCTGGAGTACCATAGTGCGTGGCACGCGCGTCACACGCCGCGTGTCTTCGCTTCGCTTCGCTTCATCTGGAATTATCTGACATCTCTCCCTCCAAAGGCTCAGGTGTAGGGTGATGCGTCCAAAGTTCAAACTGAAGGTGGTACCAGCAGTTTAATCATTTTGGGCGACATGACAGCGGCACCTCCTCCGTGGATAGCACCGGCACCGAACTCCAAGGAACTGCTTGGTTAGGGACACCGCATACGTTTCTGACATCCAGTCTACAGTACTTCCTTTTGACGGTCGCCCATGTGTGGGGCCACTGCGTTTCAACTGCAATGCCCTTTGAACATGCATGTTTTTTGGGCGAAGAACCGGTTCACTGAGTTCATTCACTGATGATTGTTGTCGTCAGCTACCACTCGACACCCCCAAAAAACACGTGATTTGGAAGAAGTCGTTCAGCGCTTTCGAAGCTGTCCTGGCACAAAGAAAACGTAGCAGGCAAAACAAACAGAAGCCACGGCCACAAGCAATGACAGAACCTCATGGTGCAAGCGTGCACAGAAACAGGGTGCACTTCAAAGCCACTGGCAACATCTGGCAGTTCCAACAAGCTGCAGGTCCTTATATACAATATGATCTCATATAATGACACATATATATAATTATATATATACACCAGCACCCTCCTGGCCAGGCTGTTTGAAGACCCTAACAGGTGGTGAACCTGGGCTGTTGTCACCAGGAAACACCTGGCCAGGAGGGTCCAGGTATGTATATCTGTCGACATCCGTCTCTCTTTGTGTCCCCTGTGTTCCATCGTTTTCGTCCAGGTGATCTGACCCAAATGCTTCGCCGCAGCAGTGGTTGGGTGTCAGCAGAGCACTGAGCCAAGCCAGGCCTGGACAGTGCAAGGATCCAAAGGGCGGCATCCCAACCCTAGGGATCCAGTCGTACCGAACCTCAGAAGGTACGACTGGACCCTCCTGGCACCTACATAACAGTGTCTGGGCAAAAGTGTGTTCTTCTGTTCCCCTCAACATCCATCAACCATAAGCAGGAAAGTCCTTGGTAGCTCTTTTCCAGAATCATCCTTTTGCTTCCCCCTTGATAGGTGTGTTGGTTGAAAAAATTCAACGTTCAGATCAAACTATCAATAAAGCAGTCCTACAGATCGGAAAAGCCGATGTCAACAGCCTTTTATGCAGGCAAATGTTTCATGAAAGGAATCCCCGGTCGCCAATGAAAGGTAGAAAACCCATGGCCTATATGGGTGTGTATTTTAACATGCAGACCCCCAACCCTTCTTCCACGAGGTCGAACTTGGAGGCCTCCCTATTTCAATACACACCCTATTAGTACCCCCTCTCCCCTCCATTCCAACATCATTTCACATCCACATCCGTCATCTCCATGCTACTCTCATCCAACGCACAATGTTAGGCTGGAATGCTAAACAGGATCTTCCCAGTCGGATGAATTTGTCGATCACTGCTTTCTTCAAAGTGACCATCATTGAGATCGATGAGGGAAATCAAACAGGCGAAGTCACCAACAAGCCTGTAAACACGTAAACATCACATGACTGGACACAGCTCGGTCATGGAGTGTCATGAAGTGAAGCTACGAAAAGGTACTCTTGCTCTGACGTATCCCGTGCTCACGTCCTCGTCTTCGCTCATGTGCTCACGTAGATACGTCTTCGCTGTCGTTAGCATCTTTTAGCTTTAAGGTCCACACCGTGCCGGGCCGAAACAAGGCCTTGATGGGTTCATGTCAGTTCATGTTCTCTTTTCTGAGCTTCGCACAAGGGGGAGAGGTTACTCCGTGCAAAGCCGATTCGGCCATGCCTCAGCGACGAGACAAAAAGAGACGTCCGGAGTGGAGAGAGTTGGTTTGGATTGAAGAGACGCTGCGGGGGGCCGGGGACAGGTCTTTCAACAAATCTAGAGTATCAGTATCTGTTGTCAAGGGATCCACTGCCACCTTCTCAGAGGGTGTTTTTGACTAAATTTACAGTACATAAAAGAGTGTCCAATCACTTTCTCAGAGGGTCTTTGGATCCAATAGTCAGGCTGTAGGCAGGAAGTTGCCCGCCCAGATGTCCAGGAGGAATAATTCATGGAGACAGGTCTTTCCACACATCTAATGCTGCCAGGTCTCTTCATATCAAAAGTGGTGTAGAAGGCGCGCATGAACCTACGTCAGGCCGAGATCCACTTCACCAAACTGTCTGCTCCAAGGGGATTGGTCACAAAAAAGAAACGACCCTTAAAGGCCCTTAAGTGCCCCTAGTCATTCCCACGTACATGTTTGTTTCCGGGCAGGTCTGGTTGGAATGAACCCAGAATAATGCTTGTGGGTTTTCTTTTTTTCTGGTGCGTGTGATTTGACACAACAGAATCTGACATTTGGATGCTACGACCTACAGTATATCTCGATACATAACCTGATTTTCACATGGAAGGGGCTTAACAAAAACTCAGTATCACTCAGTATCACTCATGAAGGGGCCACTCAGTATCACTCAGTTGTCTCCGTGACTCTTGGCTTGTAGCAGGAAAAAACTCTGTCTCGTTGCGACGCTCGACGGACCCAACATCAGGCGCACGTCATGCCGAAGATCAGCGGCACGGGTTGGCTGTCGCTCCCACGTTGAATACTGGGCACGCAGGAGGTCCTTGCCGTGGGCTAAAAGAGGGGAGGGAGGGAGGGAGGGAGGGAGGGCTTATAAATCGGGTAAACTCAATGTCCGAAGTGGAACCAGCATTCATTTCATAGCCTGAATTTTCAACAATGTTTTGCTAAGGATTTTGCACTACAAAACCAGGTCAACCATTTATTCAAAGGCTAGGGTTTTGACACCTTTCAACCGTTCTACACAAAACCCAAGTGAGCGTTTCTGATAACTCCTAGGAATTCCCATTATCGTAACACCTGGCTTTCGCAAAAGCATACGCGGAGCTTGCAAGCGGCGGCTTAGCTCACGCGGGAGAGCTGCTTGCGCCACTGCTTCCGCAACCTTACACCACTGGAAGTGTTGCTTGCGCGCCTCGGACATGACCCGAACACAAAAAGGAGGTAATTCATCCTTCCCAAACACTCCTGGTCCCGAATCCTCAGGTCAGGGGGTTCTCAGAGGCAACCAGTTTCCAAGCAATCCCTTTCTCTGTTTTGAGGGACAACCAGTCGGCCTCAAACTTCACAAATGCCAGGAGCAGCTACCCTAAGAATCCGAACGGGCTCTCCATGGCAGGGGCCGGACCCGACACCTTGGGGTCCGAGCCCTCAGAACCCGATCTTTTTGAGGGCCCGGATTCTTAGGGTAATAGCGCCGGTACCCATGTTCCACTTTCACAGGTCGACCGGGCGTTTCGTCTGTAGATGGAGCAATTGCGGTCCTTATGATAAGTTTTAAGATGTTTTAAGGCATCATAATATCTAAAAAAAAACATAATCATGAATAATCATACGTACATCATCGTACATCAGTTATTCGTTAATGGTCACTCATAGAACCTGGTTCATCTCTGGTTTCAACATGTCGTCAATCATGGATGTGAAAGGCGACTGTCCTGCCAGTCAGAGGGTCCACTGACTCAAGGATGAACTCGTCTGGAGACATGCAAAGGCTGAACTGCTTGTCCTCAGAAGAGCGGGCAGCTTTCATGTCGAAAACCGCGGTCTGTGTTGGGGGGAACGGCAAACTCTCTTGAAGATTTAAAAAATAGTACCATGCAGCCATGCATGAATCCCAGTGCGCCACTGCTTAACTGCAGGAAGAGTTTTCCTTCAGTTCTGCACGCTGCCAAGCTCCAGTTCCCGGTGTCTACAGGTACTTCAGATTTATATAGTCACACACACACACCGGGAATGGGCAGCACTGTTAAGATGCTTCTGCTCGTCAAGTTCGCAGGGGAGAGTCTGCATCTTGTGGGCCCTTGTAAAAAGTCATAAGTCATAAGAGTCTTGTTCTTCTGTCCAAGCAAAGTGACATGACTATCTGTTGTTTAACTTGCGAAACAGCTCAACCGTGTCTGTTCTGCACTCCCGCGATTTTGAAGCGCTTTGGCAAGCTCATACACTGGGGCGCTCGGACATGCTCATCGATGACGTTGATCACTAGCTGCGGTATCCTGCAGTCTGGAGAAACAGGATTTTTGATGACCTCTGATGACCCGAGCTGCCTGCCACAGGTCGGCACGTGCTGCCAGAAAAGAGATGTGAAGGCAAAGAGTTTGGCCCATAGACACCCCACAAGATGGCGACGTGCATGGCACTCCCAGTTTTCGTTGAGGCCTGGAATGATGGACTGCGACGGATTCACTGCCAAACATGGTCACCAATGCAGGTTCAAGTGCCAAACAATGCTCCGCCCCTCCAGTGGTGTGCCCTTCAATTGCCACTCCCAACTCCGCCACTCCTACTCAGGTCATTGGCTGGTGGGCAATCACAGCTGAGGATCTGCCTGGCGAAACATCCGTTTTCATGAAGCCTTCGTCGCAGCACGTCCTGGTGTTCCCAAGTCAGTCCTTCCCAACACAGAGGTCATTGGAAGCCTTTCTCGTCCACGAGTCACGAAGCGATTCCAAAAGAGCAGGGTCCTGAAACTGGATGGCTAGATCCCCTTCTTTCTTCCGCAGCGCGTGCAAAGCAAATGCTGAAGAGCAGACTTTTCACAACGATCGAGTGCTTTTGACACAATTTGGAATGTCTATACCAGCATTCATGAGTCAGGCAATGGCGACGCAAGATTCATTCTGACATACAATGCAGGTTCTTTCACGTAAAATGCATGGAGATGAATGGAGTGAAACGAAAAAAATAATCGCTAAGGTCAGCCAGCAGAACTGTTCAGGTAGCGAATGGCAGTTGGTAAAGCGCCTCAGGTTTCGATCGAACGACCGATCATCGATCGAGCGATCTTGGGGTGCCTCCATGATGTGAATGAGACCCGATGTTTGACCATCCATGGCAGTTCGCAAAATGAATCAAATAAGATTCCATGTTTGGGGAATTATATGGAACTATCAACTCCTCAAAATTGAGGAATGGAAGATCATGGAAGGCACACGCTTGGGGATGTGTGTACTGCTTGGGGATGTGTGAACTGCCTCTCTTGCGCCGTCACCAGAAACCCTCATGGAAGTGGACAACCACCTATACAGTACTTGTAGAGGACCATGGTCATCCAAGCGGCTGCTATTTACACTGCCATGATGATTTCAGGGAGTGTATAGTGTATACTATCCATATACTATAGATTGTTTGACTCTGACTCGCTGGTAGTTGCCAAATCTTGTTCAACTGTCCGAGGTATTAAACAGAATGAACTCCAAGTATCAACCTGCACCACGACTGTCAGGTCTGTGTTTCCATCATGGAAGCTCGGTGTGTCTCCCTCTCCCCGGTTCAGGAGGCCACCATCGAAGCTCTGAGATGAGTCGGTCATAGACCGTCGGCTCGATGACCAAAAGCGAAGACCCTGAGTCGATCAAAGCAGGTGCGCCCAACCTCAGCGGCCGAGCTTGGGGGAAAGGACATGGTGCGCTGCATAGTCAAAGAAATGCATGGTATGACTTGGTGACTTGAACCCAAAGAGGTCAGGAATCAAGGATGCCACGTACAAGTCAACATGAAATATTATGGTTGCTTTGGAAGTCACCATCTTCATACACTCGGTACTTCCATGTCATGACATAGCACATTCATTCAAAGGGCAGCTCAAAGCCATATTCCGAAACAGCATCGATGGCTTCATCAACCAACCAGCAATACAGCGCTTGTGAAATCGTGCCGAGGTCATACAATTAAAATCCTTAATTTGTATTCAAGAAACAACACACATAAACTAGCATAAAACCGTCATCATAATGCATTGCAAACACCATCATAATTAAATATCATACATACAAGCATGTGTGACACCTTCAAGAAACTACAGCAAGCTATCGATCTTTCACATGTGTGTTCTGCATGTTTTCTTCTTCAGTATTGGTTTTTAAATAGATATCCCATGTTCACCCATGTTCACCATGGGCTTCATATCTTTAGATACCCATGCCGCTGGCTCGGACCGGCTGCCCTACCTCCTCCCTCCGGACCGTTCCAGGAGGCCCGGACGTGCCACGATCTGGGAAGGTCACCTCGACGCCTGGGTCCACGGTGGCCGTGGGTGACGGAGGGTCACCCAGGCTACTGAGGAGCGCTGCGAAAGGAGGTTTGGCGAATTGAAGGATGAAAATGGGATCTGGCCACTGGGTCACCTGACTGCATGACATATGCCAGAACACCTATTGGATGATCCTGGTGGTTTCATAGAAGAGCTTTCAGTGATCAATTTTGATACTACATCATATAGTTCTTTCTTCAGTGATTTCATGTGATTTCTTCTGGGTGGCTTACGAGTCAGGTGATCGCTTTCACCCGAATGGCTTCATGGATGGCGCTTCGCCCGGAACCAGTCGGGTCCGTTCTCCGTTCGCGTCGTCCGTCCTGTTGGCCAATGGGTCCAGGCCGAGCCATCGACGGCTGGGAGGTCACACGGTTTACTTGAGTAATTCAGGTCTCAGTTGAGTCTGATGAAGGGCTTGCAGGAGAAGAAGAATCCCAGCAGTTGGTCGGAGCATGTTGGAACATGGTTCGGAAGACCGATGTGGGCCCATTCGGGACACTGGGGGAATCACCCAAACGGGTGATTGGTCAAACATTCCCATGTCCTTGAGTAGTAGAGTCCTTGCTCCTAGTAGCGATGCCCTTTGTTACTAGTAGCTTCTTGTTACAGTACTAGTAGTAAGGCCAGGAACTACTAGTACTAGTAGCTTCTTGCTCCTAGAAGGAAAGAGCGGATGTTGCAGGATCTTACAGGCGCCTATTAACATAGGAAGACCTCCTCCCAGGTCGACTCCACAAAAGAAGGTCTAGACCCAAACCATCCAAAGCCCGGCCATAAGTCTCCTAGGTTTGACATACACACCCGAGCAGGCGGTTTATTGCTGGTTATCTCAAAGAACACCCACTTCCACTCTGGAACGAACTCCTCAGGTCAATCCCGACGCATCCCGAGGCCTGTGTCACTCCAGCCGATGGACCAAACGCTGGTCAACCAAAGATCCGTGGTGGACATGTACTGGCCCTGCGAGTGGCGGCGAGTTCGAGCGAACCGTCGCGAGCAAGACCTCGTCGCGCGGTGCGGTGTGGAAGCTGTTTGGAGCTGGGTTTGGGGGAAGTCCGGTGAGGCTGGTCTTGACAAGACCCGTTCGAGAACAAAGAAACTGAAGAAGCAACAAAGCCAACAACTCAATTTACAGTATATGACTCACCAAGCTGTTTCTTTCACCTATACACTCGGACTGGAACAGATGTCTGAAATCACTCGGACAGTCCTTTGAGTCCTGAGATAGTTCAGTGATGTTCAGTGTTTCAAATCGATCGAAAGAAGTAACTGACTCACATCTAAGGTCTAGCATCTAAGGTCTAGCATCTTCAGTGTTTCCTTTCACATCTAAGGTCGCTCGTAGTGCTTTCCCTCGCACTGCTTGTCAGCCGGCCTTGCCATAGCGAAAGCTCGTCTCCTCAGGCAGATTCGGGCGAATCACTATGCCGTCGCCAAGGAATTTGAGAAGTTCATACCAGGGCCTTCAAGGGGTGGTTAATGGACACCCCGAATCACAGCTGTTTGGGGCTATAAATAGACACCCCAAACAGAGGGTCCTGGTAGAAGATGTTAGTGCACAAGTCACAACTTATGGAAAAAAAAACATTAACCCTAGCCTTCAAAGACCATTAAAACCATGGTTGTTTGAATGCTAAGGTTAAGAATTCATTGAACAATCATTGCACATCTCAATCATCTGGACATGCCTTCGAGTGTGTCCCAAGGTCTGGATCGCCGAAGACCAGCTGAGACCTCAGTCGTGTCGTGAGATCGGGTGAAATGCCCATGGATGGATCCGCAAACCATCCATGTTATCTATAGTTACCTATACACCCTATAGGCTGGATGGCCCACCATTGATTGAATAGGGGCCGCATCCCGAAGAATACCGAGCTGTTTTACGGATTCTACACTACAAAACCAGGTCGTTCCTATTTTGTTTGGTCTTGGAAGTCGAACGGGTACATGGATGAATCATAAACCAGCACCACGGAGTTCCACACGAACTCCGTGGTGCTGGATGAAGCCTTCTTCAGATATCAAACCCCCAAGACTTCTCAAAGCATTGAGTCGTAAGTCGTTTTTGATGCTGTTTTCAATGGGGAACGCATCTCCAAAACCGAAGAACACCGAAGAAACGTGTGATGTAATATCTCAGAGCCCTGTCTATGGATATCTCCTTCACATTCCTTCATGAAGAGGCCACAGGTTGAAGATCGAAAAGCACCCCAGAAGCATCGCATCGTGTGAAACAGCGAGTTCGCACGGGTAACGAATGGTGCCGCACGGGTTAGACGTCTGAAGAGATCGGGGTTCGCTTGGCTCACCGGTGGTGTAGCACCGGTGTAGCTCCATTCAACTTCTTTTTTCTGCTTGAACTTTCGTTCGATCAGAATGAACGGACGAACGGTGATGCATGACATGTCTGGCTGTTTTTGGGGTGCCGAGGTCTCTTGGACCACCGAACCCTCAATCCTTGCGCGCCGCCGACTCCGGCGTCCCGCCCCGGGCCCGGGCTTGGCGTCGCTGGAGCCACGCCCCGTGAGGTAGAAGGAGAACTGCGCCGGTAGGTGGGGGTGCTCCCTGGCGCAGTCCGGACGACCGTTTGGACGACCGAAGAGCCGTTCGGTGCAACTGGCCCCTCTGAACATCTCTGAAGCTACACATCAGAGCGTCCGACTGTTGACGGTCAGATTTGTAACGCTCCAAGAAAACTAGGAACTAGTACGGTGGTACACACTCCAAGCTGTATACATACTACACACTCCAGCTGTAACGCTCCTTCCCATGTTCTGAAGCTCCACCGCCCGGACGAAACCATTCTCGTTGGTCCAGTCGACCGGTCAGGTTGAGGTTGAGGCTATCCATGGCTCCATATGTACCACCGGTCCCAGTTCAGGTCTCAAAGAACAATACCAATTGGTGGTACATATGGGATAGCCATGTTCAGGTCTCATATGTACCACCAATGGTCCTCTCTTGATTTCTTAGCCTTCAACCCGCCAGACACACGGTGCGCGTTGGATCCAGCGAGCGAATGTTTGGCTCGGCTGCCGAGGATCCAGCTCGGGTTCCAATCATGGGGAAGGGCAGCCATGTTGAGATCGTTGGTGGGGTTTTCTGGACGCACCAACGATCTTCAGCGGTCTGCACCACGATCTAAATTGATACGGAAATTAGTTTAATGTCTTCAGCGGTCTTCAGCATTTGTCGGCCCATTAATCATTAAAGCCAACATGAAGCAACATGTTTGAGAAAAGGGAGGCTTCCCAGGCATCTGTTCAAGTGAAACACATCTAAACAATCTAAGTGTATACCTGGAGTCGACCCGTTCGTACCTCGGAAAATGGGTACAAGTACAAGTACATCTTTTTACGAGGGTCAGATCCTATTTTCGAGCATGTCCCATTCTCTAAAGGACTTGAAGTCGTGTCACAGGTATAACATATTATATGCAGCCTGCAGTATATGTTACATATTTTTATTGTGTTTGTTGGACCTTATTGGTGAGCTCACTTCAAGAGCGTGTGATGTGTGTGATAGTTTGTCTTGTGCTAAAAAGCACACTGAACTGATATCATTCATGTGAGCTTCCAGAATTTTAACACAAAGAAAGCTCCGGTTTTTCTTTTTGGCTTGCAGCGGAGAAGCACCAAACTTCGCTCCCCACAGATCATCACTGTTTTTCGTCGCAACTCTGTCGATGAACGGTTCGGGGAAGCAGCCACGACGCTCGTCCGAGGCCTGAAGAGCGTGGAGACAAAGGTTTCGCCTCTGAGACTCCGATCCGAGGCATAGTGATGTGCCAAACCCAAGATGCCATCCGACTTCATGTGAGTATCCTGCCATTCGTGGACAGCACAGCGCGGATAGAAAGGCGGATGTGGAAGAAGGTCGAAGGTGCGGTGTGTGTTTCCGTGAAAAAGCGGCTGTGAGAGTGTGGATCGAAGCCGCAAACAAATCACAATTGTCTGATAAAAGGCTTGCTGGTCTTGTTCTTTCTGGGTCCTATTGAAGCATCACCATAGAAGTATATATACCGAAATCATAATATAATACAAAACATTATAATATATAACAACAATATACGACGTCTTGCTAACTCTTGCTACTTGGAGCGTGTTGCTGAGAGCCCCACAGATTCCATGTCATCCACCTGAATCAGCAGCTGCCGCTGAACCTGGATGTCGGTTCGCCCCCTGATCCCAGGACACATGTGTCGAACATATCATCCTCTCAGAGGGGTGGCAGTGGATCTAGGGCCTAGGGAAAGATGTACCCAAACGCTCCATGGGAACTGCCATCTTTGCCGATAGGCTATAGGCTAGGGGTGGTTGATTTCAGGGGTCGCCGACACTGGGGCGACACTGGTCTGCCAGTCCCAATGGACTGCCAGTCCCAATGAAGTGTTTGGGATCTGAACCAACCACATATGACGCAACGCTGGACTGAGTGCTGCTTTGGAAAGGAATTCAATTGGAGCTCACCCCATGGCTCATAAGAAGCTTATAGCTTTGGCTTACTTGCCTTTACTGCCAAGCAGTAGGAGTTCCGCATAGTTCTGCCCATTTTGAGATTAACATCGACATCTCCGCTTTCCTCCGCTCTCCGAGAAAGCTCCGACCGCTCCGACCTGCAGACCTCTCCAACGGTGACCGTCCGACTCGACTCACTGCACCTCCAGGTCTCCGATCCTCACCGTGTCATAGAAGGAACCTGCGGTCAACGACCGTCCGACACACGGCAGACGAACGAGACTGCAGAGTGAGGCTCCGAAGACAGCGGTCGACAGACAGCGTCTCACCCCGGCGAGGGCTCCGAAGACCAAATGACCCGTTTTGCGGCCTCCGTGTGCCGTGTGCCGTCATGTCCCGTCACATTCATCTGAAACCCGTCACATTCCGAGGTCTTCTTGATCTTCTCGCGCGGAAAAAAAAGAGCCCACGTGAGGCGCTTCAGAAAGGCACCTCCATTGGCCACTGTGCCGTCGCCGTAGCGGAAGGTGATGCGGTTGCCGATCCTCGGGGCGAAGAAGAAGGAAAAAGGAAGAAGGAAGAAGAAGAGGTCAGGCTCTTGGCTAAGGCTGGAGCTCCTCTGCCTTGCAAGACTTCTTGATGTCAAACCTGAGCGGCTGCTTCGGGTGTTCGACAAAGAGAACTGCAGGTTGAGCCTCCCGGATTGCAATATATGCCTCCTCTTGTACAGGTTTGGTATCTCAGCAGCAACACGTGTCTGTGCACTGTAGGTGCCATGTCTGTCAATCTGTTCGTGATCCCCGAATAAGTTATCTGAGAAGAAACAACAAGCAGCATCAAGCAGCAACTCAAACTCTCACTTGATAATGTGAAGTTGTCATTCGATCTGTTGCCTGTCCAAGTTTACATCGCTCACAACTCTTGACACCGAATGGACCAAAAAAAACTCATGTCGACGCATGACACGACCCTGACGCCTCTCCCTGCAGACGTGACACTTTTTGGTTCCAGTCTTGCAGCGCGAGCAGTTCACGGCCTTGAAGGCGAGACGCGCGTGCCAGGCCGTCCGTCCGACGAGCAGCTTCGATTCTCCCGTAACAGTGACTGAAGTCGACAAAAATACGACGACATGACGAGAATGCCAGGAGCCCCTAGTAGCTTCTTGTTATTAGTAGTAAGGCCAGGAGCCCCGATCGTAGCGTTCTTGCTCCGAACGTAGCGATGCCAGGAGCCCCGTTCGTAGCTACATGACGGGACTGACAGGTCAGACTGGACATATTCCTCTAGTCTTCCACCGATCTACACCCTGGCCGCAACCGCTGCAGTTGGGCTTCCTGGCAGGAATCCAAAGGTCGGAGCTGCCGGTATCCGGCACTACCTTTCGAGCTGCCGGTCTCGCCGCGGCAGCGCGGGGTCGGTGTTGGCAAGCTGGTTCCCCAAATCCACTGACTGGTGCAACGAGTTCGTAGGGATGTTTCGGGTGGCTGGATCCTACACCCATCATTATGCAGAGTCCTGATCGGATCCAGCCACTGTGAACCAGTCAGTCCCTGCGAACTCGTCGCACCAGTCAGTAAGACCAGTCAGTCAGCGTGCAACATTGGACATGCATTGAATCGAGAGAAGCAGCCGCTTGGCTTATGAAGAGAGATGAAGTATTCATAATTGTCAGCATGGATGGGCATGGTGACAAACTCCCTCGGTTGACTGTCTAGCTTCAATGCAAAAGTGTGTGGTAATGTGTGGTACTAGTAAGTGGATCACGTGGGTTGGGTGAACTGGTTTCGCCTACACCCGTAAAACACTGCAATAAGGGAGATGCATATACCAGCAGCCTCCAACAGGTCACCAATTGAGACCTGTTGGGGCCCAAGAACCCTTTGAAGGAGACCTGTTGGAGGATGCTGGTATGAAGTGATATATTCGTCTTCGCGGAATTTGTTTTGGGAATTCGTCTTCGTCTGCGGGTGGAAAGTCGATACCCGCTGTGTGCGGGTCCAATGTATATATATATACGACTAATAGACCGTGGGCCATGTGGGAATATCCCCTAAATCGACGTTGGCACCCATGACCCCGTTGGATGGTTCAGGATGTTGTGAATGCCCATCGTTTTCACGACCGCGCGAATGGCGCCCTTTTTGCGCGAATGGCGCATCTCCCTAAGATCGCTTGCCAAAAAAACAAACAGGGCCTTGCCATAGGGGTAAATGGTATAGCCCATTACCAGCAACAGTGGATGAAAATGGTTAGTAGAAGCTTTTCTAAAAAAATAGAGATACTTTTTTCCCGAAGGTTACTGGTTTACTGGGATCCACCATGAAAACCCACCTTAACCTGATATCTCAAGCCGAGCACTTCTTGATCATCTTGGACTTGCTGTCCAAGAGCCTGAAAAAGAAGAACAAAACAGATTCCCCAGAAGGGGAGTCGCCCATATGGAAAATAAACAAATCACCTTAAGCAATGCCAAGTCGGATTGAATTCTCAACCTCACATGGATCACGTCCCATTTCGTTCGGACCTTGAACTGTTGCCGACCATACGATGGACACGCGGCGCCAATCTGCGTGAGCGCACTGGTGCGGTCAAGGGTTCTGGAAACTTGCAATTGGTTAACTCGGCTCGCCTATCTACACAGCTTATTGATACCCATGGCTAATCTATGGCTACAAAATGCTACAAATTGATATTGATTGCTTCATCCATGCTCTTGATCAGACTAGCTTTAATGCATCACATGGCAAATGCTGGTAAGGTCATGCAAGGGCAACGATTGAACAAACAGGGCAACTGTCACAATGAAACAATGAACCTCCACGTATTACAGCTAATACGTGCTGCACAGCTTTCTGCCCACCTCAATCTGCACATGGTACTGCACATTGTCATAGTTGCCCAGCACATTCCTGAGTGAACGTACCCCCCTCACAATTCGGTGAGCATCCTCCTCACAATGCTTTCCGTGTCCTAATTCCATGCATAGCAAAACTCATCCGCAGTCTTTCCCTTGAGGTGATCTTTGTTGATTCCAAAGCTGAATGATTCCTTTTGAGAACCACTTTTAGTAGGGATTTGACCTCGAACCATGCCCTGCCAGATTCACATCCCATTGCTCCTTGGGCTTTTGCTTAGAGTCTAGTTGTCCGAACCTTCCGGGGGGGTCTGAAGGGGAGACCCCCGGCCTTTTAACAAAAAAACACCCGCCAGTTGCGCGCCACATGCACCGAGTTCGCCGCGGATGTGAGTCCAACTTCAACTGCCGGGCTGTCACCTGTGTCACGCTGTTGGCGTGTGCCGTGTGTAAGAATTCTTTTTAGGGCTCCCACGTGTTTCAAAGGTGCTCGGGGTAGGGTTTCTGAAACCCGCTTCATGTTCGATCAACCACGGTGACCAATAGGATCCTTTGGTACTTCGCAGACTTGGGCGACTTACTAAGTCTCCGCTATGTCTTTGCGATGTGGTGGCTAAGTATGGTCCAAGTGGCCAAAGTCAGGCTATGTGTCGCCATACTTAGGTGGCACTTGTCAACGTTACAATGTAATTGCTGATGTTAGGCAAGTGTTGATAAGCTTTGCCAAGTGCAAGTTAAGTTGTGCTAACTGTTGCTAGTTTTTTTTGATTTTAAAAATTGTTATACTCAATGTTGACTATGCGTTATTGTTGGTTGTTTTGTTGTCCGAACTTGATTGTTGATTCAATTGTTGAATGACATCGATTGGTTAGATTTGGTTTGATAGAAGGTTGGCTTGACATTGATTTGGACGTATTGCATTCTTCTTCGTTATTTCATTTAACTGGATTGTATTTAATTGGATTGAACTAGATTAGATTTTATAGGGTTGGATTTGATTGGATTGGTTTTTAATCAGAACGGGTGCTCCTGGGAGATGTGTTTCATGCAAAAAATGATGCAAAAACAATGTGTTTTACAGTGATTTCTTGCAAAATCCTCTCCAAAATTGAGGTTTTGAGCTATTTTTTGATCAATTTTGTGAGATCCAAGCCTATCCCAGTTTAGAGAGAAAGCTATTGCAACTAGGGACTCATTACTAAAAAACAGCTCAACTTGCTTGTTTTAGTGTGTTTTGGTATTTTGTGTCGATTTGATTTCTGTGGAGTTAGTATTTAACAAATGCTAAATTTTGCTAAGTTCAAGATCACTTTTGCTAAGTTTTGATAATATTTTTATAAGTCCCTACTAAGGTCTATATTTGTTCTATAAGTCTTCAAAAGTCAAGAGGATCCTACTAGTAGGCTTCTGCTTGGATCTCCCAGAGAATTAACCATCGCGGGCTGCAGTGTTCACCCTAATCGCACCGGGACATCCATTGGATTCAGGCTCCGGGATTCAGAGGGTAAACGATAAGATGACCTAAATATATTATGTTGACCACGTATGCAAAAACTGTTGATGCAACCGGAAAAGAAACTTGGAAAAAATGAGCAAATAGAATGCAGAATGCACTCATTTTCCAAATTAGGAAAACAGTAGGAAAGAACAAGGGAAAAACTTGAGAGAGGAAGGGGGAGAACGAAAGGTAGCGCAGCACCACGTTTGGAGAGAAACTGCGCATGGATCCACCACCATTTTTTTTGTGTCACCTCAGTATGGGGTCAAACCTCCACATTTTCCGAAGCACTCGACTCTACATCTATGTTGGATTCGGCCTTGAGGATTTGTTGTGGTGGTGTTGGGTTTCTGGTTGTTGATCAGTTCACATTGGCACAATCTATCCGTCAAAGATCTTTACGTTGTCTCAAGCAAGCGTGGAAGCACGTCAGGACATATTGGTTCGTGTTCATTCTTGAAGACTTGATCTGAATCCTGTTCTGGCTAGGACCCGGAAGGTGAGACGTGATATATCTCTTTGGATAAAATGGCAAAATGCCACACTGCAAACCCTTAATCGTACGCCGTGAAAAAAGTCGAGGTTGTATGGGAGAGACGAACTTGTGTGCTTGGATCAGCCAAGTTTGTGGCCACTTTGAAGCATATATAGCTTAAAACCATCGATATTTACAGGGTTTTGTGCCGGGAAGGCGCACAACACCGTGTCAATACCGTAGATGTTTGCCTTGTTGAAGCCTCCAAAAGCCGAAAAAAAAACCTTCCCGACACATGTTTCCTTGGTTTTTGACAATGTTCGGCCATTTTTGAAGCCTAAACACCTCAAACACAATCGTTTTTGTTTATGGAGTTGTTTGCCGGACAGCCACATGAAACCCTGTACATTGCGTGGTTTGAGGCAACTCTTGAAGACTGGAGGAGCTGAAAACAGCTTGTATTTACAGTGTTTTCTAGCCGTTGACAAAGAGGCGCGCCAGGGTGGAGTTGAAAAGGGGGGCCCCACCCTCCCGCCACTAAGCCGAAATGTCGGAGGTGATTTCTCGGTGAGATAGGCTTCCACTCTGGTTATAATTCATTTTTGCTACAGCGAAAGGATAACTCAGGTAGCGTAACCGCTACCTTTCGTGACATAGAGAAACAAATACACTTCCAAAGAGACCTTGCATTCCAATGTGAAGACAATAGAAAGGACAGCGTGGTATGTCACGAAGAAAGGAGATCACTGCCTGCCCTTAGAGGACAAACCATGAGGGAGAGAGAAAGAGGGTTAGAGCAAACTCGCCAAATTGAGCATACGTCTCCTAAACGGCGTGCTGTTGCAGTGAGAGTGGAAAGCGTCAACGCGTCAGTTCAGAGCTTGCAGGCTGGGTCGAGGGCCCAACAACCAAGGGCCAACAAAGTGAATTAATATGAATTAATTGCTAGAATACTGGGTTCACAAATAGAATTCGCATCAAAACTTTAAAACACGTGTTTGTTTCCGACTTTTTGTTCATCGGGTTCTTTTGTCAGAGCAGCTATGGCAGAAGACCCGGCCATGGTTGACACACAAGAGGATGTGAGCCTTTCGGGATGGGCAAACCTGGCCGCAAAGCAACTTGTGTTTTCTCAAAGGGAGACGATCGTTTTTTCAAAGCGACCGTTTTTTCAATTGCGCTGGCAATGTGCATTGACAAAGCAAGGACTGTACGGTACAGCGCAACTTTCATGTTTTGTCACTTAGTTAAATGTCTTTCTGGTCAAGAGTCAAGACTTGTTTACTTCAGACACTTTACAGCGTTCTTCTATATTTTTATACTATATACCTGCGATTTACGTGAAAAGATCTTCAGAAAAAATATTGTTGGTGCAGAGTGTGTGCGGAGCGGGGCCGGCGCGTTCCTGTTGAAGGACTCAGGTGAGCGGTGGGCGATGTCATGCTGCCGTCGCATTCACAAACATCTGCCACAAATCTGCCAAAAAATTGACACATGTTTAAATTCTAGTCTCGCGGATGTCCAACATCCATTGATCAAAAGGCTGATGAATCATGATGAGTTAAAATGCATTCGAGACTCTCTACCAAACTACCAACATTGCCGATTTTTGGAGAAATCTTGCTTTAAAATAAGGTCTGTCCACCTCTGTCCACCCTGTCTGTCCACCATGACACACCACCTTTACACCAGCATGTTTTCCTTCGCGATTCCACCAGCTTTAGCTGTTAGTCTAATGAAGAATCACTATTGGAATAAGGGATTTTGTATATAAAGGTAAAAGGAAGACCCTTCGTTCGATCTGGAGGTTCTTTTTCCAATTGTTGATATGAGTTTATATACTGTAATCGATTTTACATAAGACTTTCCTAGGCAACTTTTCTGTTCTTGTTCGCTCTTCCCAGGCTTCCATCTTTGCAGGTACCCATTTCGGGGACCTATGAAAAAGACCGCGACCGCGTGTTTAAGTAGGTGGAAGGGATTTGAGGCTTCTATACGTTTCGATCTCTTTGAGGGGGCTGCAACTTCAACGCCCAGCCTCCGTGAGGGCTTCCCCCCCTGCGATCCACCTGAGGTGCAGGACGACACGATCGGATTTGGGCGGCGCCAGAAACGGTGCACAAACATGTTGAAGGCCTCCATCAACCCTGCGAGTGACATGGGCCGGAACATGAACCTGCAAGTGATAGGCCTTTTTGATCCTTTTTGGCAGTGGGTTGAAGGTTCACGGAATCGGTGGTAAAAACCAGAGTCCCCCCTGGTGCCATAGGAAGACCCACATGCACATGAATGAACCCTGGCAGAGTGAAGTATTTCCCGCATGGTGAGATCTAGGTATGCCAAATGGTACCCGGTGGTATACATTTCAAAAGCAGCGGGTCATTCAGAGCGATTCTCAAGGGGTGGACCAAGACGATGCCCGCGCCCACGTGGGAACGAAACCTCTCGACCAGCCGAGCGCGGTCTTGCGACTCCCAAGCCGTTTGACTGGGAAAGCTCAAGGTGTTCACAGAACTTCTCATCGCTTCTTGTTGAGCGGGATGTCCCCAATCCGCCTCAAAGAAGGTTTAAAGTTATCCATACTTTTCCGAACTCTTCCAGGGCAGGTCGTGTCAGCGGTATCGGTGAACATGTCGAAGTGGCAGGAGTCAAAGGCAGCACCACACGGGCAGGGTCTCCGCCTGCGAAAACGGTGCTCTAACCATCAACCACAATCAACTTGGATTCGCTGTCCAGGAGCCTGGAAGGAATATAAAGTACTCCCCAGGAGGGGGATTTACCCATATGGAAAATAAACAATAAACAATCGCCTATGGCAAAGCCAGGTCAACCACCTTCTCAGGTGGATCAATCCCTCTGGCATTGGATCCTCTCCCCTTGGAGCCACTGAAATGGAACCAAGACGTGTCTACTCTTTGAAACAGAACTTTCGGGGGTTAAGACCCAAAAAGGCATAAAATAGTCCTCTCCTCCAGAATCAAAGATTGCTTGACAGTCCACACCAGTTCTTTACCCTACAGGTCCAGTCTGACCCAATAAAATTCAATGAACTTCAGTAAACTGAGGTCTTCGACCTGTAGGGCTAGGTTGTCCTTTTCGCTCCGGAGCACGCCACTCTGACCTGACAAAGCCCATAGCCCCAAAAAGAGCTGCAGCCAACGGCTCATGGTGTACCTGCAACGGCCACTGAAGAGACTTGGGGACCACACAAGAAGCTTCTCGCACATGATGTCTGTTGTTAAAGAGAAGAAATCCCCGACCACCGCCGGAGTCATTGTTCGGAAGCGAACCATCTGCAGTCATTCTGGTTTTATTATGGCATCGTATATGATATAACATGCACATATATTATGTTATTAATATAGGAATTGATTTGTCGCCAGAAGACTCTCTGGTTTCATCCAGCTGAATGATATAGTTAAATATCAAACAATTACTGAACACATGCTTTTGTCTTGGACGCCTGCCTCGAGGCTAGAGCGGCCTCATGGGAACCACATGGAAGGGCTTCGTGTTTTTTCCGTATGTCTTCACTCCTGGTAGGGGCTGGAGTGTTTTGGTGCTTCTGGTCTGCTTTGGTCTTTGCGTTCACGAGAGTGTGAGTGCTCAAAAAATGAAACATGTTTCATCGAAGGTTTCTTTGTTGGCCCACAGCCCATGGGATTGGATGAGATCTTGGCGAAACAACTTGGCAAATGTAGAGCCTCTGGAGAAGCCCGAGTCTCATTTGCACAGCTTTCGCGGGCGTTTGTCGATGTCACTTGGCGTTACCACTTTGAGCAAAGGGCTTCGGGACCACGGTCAAAAAAAAATGGATGGTTCTTCATTTGCGATATCTCTTGGCGCGAGGAGCGATCGCGTTGACACCATCGCTACTAGGGTGGAGGCCATCTCTACTAGGGTGAAGACTATCGCTACTAGAGTGGAAACCATCGCTACTAGGGTGGAGGCTATCTTTGGGTGGAGGCTATCGCTACTAAAATACTGGGTGCAAAGCTACCACTCCAGGCATTGATACCATGCTGAAGATGGACTTAAGTGTACACCAATCAATTAAATTTGATGCCTGTCAGCTACACTCTACACATGATGCCCCCCAGAACTGGAACTCTTAAAGGTCCGTGCAACAGCTGGCCTGCATTTTTGCCACATCCAATCTTCCAGAGTTCGCACATTTTTTCAGCCCTCGCTGCGCAAGCGAAGTGCCGGTCAGTGCACGCTCACGAACTAATTGAGCGCTTGCACCTGCCGAGGGAACATCGATGGAAAGAGTCCTCAGTTTTGCGGTTCTTTGAAGCAACATAAATTCATTCCAAGGTTCCGGTTTTTTTGCCTCACAGTTTCAATGAAACGGATTCTCTGGGACGTCATTCCAATGTCTTCAGCGAGACGAATACCGTTCCTTTTGAAAACCAGAATTGGTCCCTGGATGTTCCGTCCAAACGGTGGACACAACCGGTCAGGAACTGGAAAACATATATCACCCCAGAGAGAGACCCCGTCAAAGACCGTCAACCAACCCTGTGGCCAAATCACCTGCTTATCATCTCGGGAGTCATACCTAGAATCGTTCCAACTGGTGCGAAAAGAGCTACCAAACTTGGTTTCATTGAAACTGAAGTTCGGCAGATTGTTTCCTGCACCAGTTGGATGATCTGTCGGTCCCGGTCAGCTCGATCATTATGTTCGGCTCCGCAGAGGCTGGACACGCCAGTGAAGGGTGCTTTGGCTCGACACCCCGCATGTTCCTTCCCAAAAGCGCCCGGAAATCCAAAACACTTCGTGTGATGTCGGGGTAATTTACCAAATCACAAACACTCCATGTATACCATACCTGGATCCTCCTTTAGGCTAAAAGATGTGCCGGACCTCAGTCCGGCAAAATGTTCCGCCGGATTCCCTAAAAAAAACGCCGAAACAGAGATGATAGGTTGGTTGGATCATACACAAGCAAACTGCCTTTGCGCCACGAATAGTTTTCTGGAACACACTCATTCCACAACCCAACACTGGAGCCTTCCCGTTCCCATTGCCCTCGCCCATCTTCCAACTTGCCTAAGAGCAGAACCTTCACAAAATATAAGCAAACGTGTGCCCAAGCAAAGACTTCCAAGAACAAACCAAGGAGTATGTCCCAAGGAGCCCCTCTTTCCCTGCAACCGTGTCTCTATAAAGCTCTTTTACAAAGTGGTTTCTTTTTATGATTTTTAGTTTACGGGAAATTGCGGGAAACCTTCAAAATACGTATATATACTGATTACTGAGTCCGGAAATTACGCCGGAGTTATGGTAAATTACGCCGGAGTTACGACGCGGCCTTTTTTGGCAACTCTCTGTCTCTGCAAAACATTGAGATTCTGAACAACACACGTTCCACAACCCAAAGCTTGTCCTGCAGGCTCTGCAAACCTGCGCAGCTAGAAATTTTCCCCAGCCCCGACATCCTGAAACAATGGGAATACATTGTCGCCTATGTTCTTTCAGCTTAGGTACACCCACTTGCGTCTTTCAACACGTGCATCGCACTGTGTCGATCTGATTGAGCCAGTGTGAGCCAATGCTGAAACCGGTGGAATGAGAAAACAGCGGAACAGGCAAATGATCACACTTTCCAGATCTATCAATTTCCCTTCAAAGAAATGCGGACCACAAAGAATGCAAAGCCTTGAGAATCCAAATAAAGTGACTTGGAAAAACTGGAAGCTCGGCGCCGGACCCTGTAAAAGTGCCGGACACTAAGATCTAGGTATTTGATGTGGTATTTGCTATATATTGCGCTGGCTGAAAAGAGGTCAATCTGTAGGCCCACTGTAGGCATACATTCCAGTCCCCAATCGTCTGGGATTTTTTCTGCTCCACCGATTCCATTGAATTTGCCAACAAACTAGATCCCGTTAGTTCGCGTCGACCTGATGCGAGGCAAACACTGGGAATGTTCCGGACAAGTATACCCTGCCGTGCGCGTCGGCACGCTTCACATCGGTGTCCGACCCTGTTGGCTCCCCGCGAACCGCGGTCGCGCGCGCGCGGCCTTGCCACCCTTGGGTCGCATGGCCACCACGACGGAATGCCCACTCTCCGGCAACGTGCTCCGCAGCAGCTCGTGCGCCTTCGTGGCATCGAAGCTCTCGAGCATCGCCTGACGAAGCGAAAGCGAGGCAAGCGTTCTGACGAGCCGCGCGCCACCGCGGAGTCCTCATTGTGCTGGAGCCAAGCAGGGTGGAAATCAGGGCGCCTCTTCCCCCCCCCCCCCGGTGGGACCTCGGACCGGAGCTATACTTGTATAGCTGGACGATGGCCTTGTCTGCCGCGAATGACGATGACGATCCTCGTCCTGTTCCTATCGATCCGTAGTTCTCCTCTGGGTCGTCAAGATGTGAACATCTCGATCCATTTCAATGGTCCATTCAGGCTGTGTCATGCAAGCAGACCGGTGAATCACGGCCACGTGGTGCCACACTGTGACACTGTCCACGAGGCGAGGACCGTGGTCGTTGTTTCGCTGTCGATCGGGTGAGGCATGGCGATTAGCCCAGCTGTTTGAAGGGTCTTCCTTGTGGAGCCCTGTCAAAGCAGAAGCAACACCACGACCATTCAAGACATGTCAAAACAAGTCTTTGTAATAGACCGTACCCAAACACTCCAAGGGACTGGCATAATATCAGTTAGGATGCTTGACTTCAGGGGTCTATGTAATCAATTCTTTCACGTCCCATTCAAAACACCGCTACAAACTGCGCTATACATATACTACGCCTTCAGGGGCGCATCTTGCCGCCTTGAAACACGGCCCCCCCTGACCCTTGCCGCCCTGAACTAGCAGCCAACCGCTCTCCACTTCCAGTCCACACCACATCCGCAGCTCACACGGCGCCTTTCGTGCTCTCCACCACTGGGACATGGTGCTGCCCACATCCGGCTGAGCCACGTAGCAGCGCGAGAAGTAGAGGTCCAGGATCGTGTTCGCCCACCAACCTCGAGACCCGACATCCGATGACCCTAGGCATCCAGTCGTACCTTCTCAGAAGGTACTTGGACCCTTCAAACCTACATAACAGTGTCTCCAATCACCTTCTGAGAAGGTACTTTGTCTCTGTTATGTAGGTGGTTTGGAGGGTCCAGTCATACCGACGACTGGATCCCTATAGCTTATAGCCTTAGGGTGAGTGGAGCAGGGCGCTCGCTTGTCGCACACCCCAAAAAGACTCTTTTTGTGAGCCACAAGGTGAGGCAAAAAGTATGCGTCTTTGACTTAAAAAAAGGAATGTCATAGTCATATATGCAGTACAGAATTCTTCTATACAGGATGTCTCCTGACTCCAAACGCAACATGTAAAAGGACATGACGCTGTGTTAACACATGTTAACACATGTTAACACCGTGTTCGGTGTATCTCCAGGTCCCAAGTCGCTGTTGGTATGAATCAGCTCCTCCAACTCTCGACGGTCCTGGAGGTCGCAATGGATACCGGTGGAACGGAAGCAGTTCCGGAAGCGTTGGCGGTTTGAGACCCGTTCGATCAGATGGTTCGATGAAAGAATGCCACCCAATGCGATTTGGTTATACCCTAAGGATCCTGGGACCTGAGCACAGATAATAGGATAGACCCATGTTCTACCCTAATAAGATCTAATAAGGATCCTGGGACCTGAGCCCTCAGGTATGACAGGGCTCGAAGCCTCTATGACAGGGGTCGGTTTGAGGCCCCGAATCAAACCCAAGCTTTTGAGGGTCCGGATCGGGGAGGCCCTTTTTCTGTGGGGAGGCTGATACAGTATGAGCTGATGACGTCTCTTGGGGTCCTCTTCGAAGTGAGGGACTCTTCTTGGAATTCGGAGCGCTGGTCCGAAGTACGGGACTCCTCTTCAGGTTTGCCTTTCAGAAGTTTTGAGCGCCCGGAAAAGAACGACCAGCCGATCAAGACTTGGGACCTTCCATGGGCAGGCAGTGCACATGTCGTTTTCGGCTGGATATGGATTCCACACTCAAACCATTCCATGTTGGAGAAAACCCATTGTGCTCATGAGATCAGGTTTCAAGACATTTCAACAACCACCTGAACTTGGAACTGGAAAACTCCTGTCTCGCGTGTCCTAACAATCCTTGGACACATCTTTGCAGGGGTCGGACTCGACCTCTGCGAAATGAAAAGACACCCGAACCTAGGGTTCTGATTCTTAGGATTCAATCCATGTGCCAGACCGCCGACAGGCTCTTGGGCACCCCAGTCAGTGTCCCCGGGGCTCCGCTTTTTCAAGCAAGTGCGTCACTCGACCCAAACCCACCAAAACCAATCCAGTTTGACTATCACAAGCTGCCCCAGATCGATGTGTTCAGGAAGTTCCAGAAAGACTCACTGAGTCAAACTGGTTCAGGAAGACGTGACTAACACGGCCTGCTCCATGGCCGCGGCGACATTCTCGGCCGTGAAGGCCGCAGAGCCATCGCGCAAACGCTGGAGCTCCTGCGTCCGGTGTCGGGCGAGATGGTTTCCGGCCAGTCTCCGGCCCGATGACATGCCAGGCGAATGAGTGAGTGGAGGTCTTGCATGGAAGGAAAACTGTACTTCAATAAAACTGAGATGGTTTACCCATACTATAGGCATGTACGGACCATCTTGGAAGGTCGATCAAAGTCACAGATCTCAGAAAGCTAGAGAGCGAAAAAACGCCACCCATTCATGAGGCCTATTCATTGAGCAACCCCCCAGACCTAGATCTTCCAACGATGCAACATGTCTGCCGAACTTGGCTGGTTTGATAGATGGACAGGCAATTTTCTTTTTGCGAACATCCAGTATACATAGACCACTAGTTCGGGTCCCGCTGAAGAGGCACCTCGGAAATGGCGGTGCTTCCAAAGTACAAAAAAAGAACTCAAGAAATGAACATGGTGAAGGTGCATGGGTAACTAAATTGAACAGCACGTTGACTCTGAAACTACAAGCTATACCCTGGGTGTCGAAAACCGCAATTGATTTAATAACCTGAATCCCGAATCCCAAACAACTATTTTTACTAAGAAGGATTTTGAACTCCAATGCCATGCCAACCCATTTTCCGGAAGGCTATAGGGGTCTAACGGGGTATGCATGTCTTCCAAGCCAAGCTTAAGGCATGTTCTGTTCGATTCCAGGTTCTTCGCCCGCTTTGTTGCTGCCACGCCGCAGCTCTGGTGGCTTGGACCAGTTCGTCGGATTCCACTGGATCGCATTCAAAACTGACACCTCAACGGTGAGATGTGCGGCGCGGCTCCGAAAAACTGGAAGTACTGTTTGTTTGTTGCACTAATAGAGTCACTTCAGCAGCCATAGCTGGTGACAAGTTTGGTGCCCAGGTTCACCACCTCTTAGGGTCTTCAAACAGCCGAACCTTGGAGGGTGCTGGTCATATCTGAACCATCATCTTCCAGCTGCGGGATTCACTCGTCTAGCATCACCCAAGACCCTGCAAGACCATGCAGGGTCAGTTGGCTGGTGAGTTGGTGGATGCTGGTCGTATGAACCCTGAGCTGCACTCTGAGAAAGCGGTGAAAGGAATTGGCATCTCAGTGGGTGAAAGGCCATGGGCCATGGAAAGGCGTGCTCACTCATCGGCGAGGGAGTTCAAATCAGAGACCGAAGGGACTACCAATGGGTTCGGAGCAGCTGGCCTGAAAGTGACCAGAAAAAGAAAACACTTGGAATCAACATGAATCAACCCCAGAAAAACCGTCCCATCTAGAGCTTTTGAGTCACTGGCAGTAGAAGCTTCCCACCTGCCCCATGGCCCCACACTTCGAAAACATGAGTGCTGTAACCCTTAAGACAAAAGTGGGAAAGACATGGAAAAACCTGGTTTTGTAGTGTGGATTCCGTAAAACAATGGTTGTTCGAGATGACCTGCCATCTTCCCCGCCTATCAGAACAGTTCACCGCAACCTCTTTCACCCGACGACTGAGGCCTCTGACAAGGCGATTGTTCGCCGACGCCCAGCTGGTTCGCCTTTCCGTGGAGCGCGCGCCAAGCGTCGCGCGCCAAGTGGCTGAGATTTCCACGTCGTGCGTGCCCCATCTTGGGTGGCGACAGGCCCAGGTCACTGCCGACGGCCACGGAGTAGACCTGCTCAGCAGCTGGGCTGGTTTGAGGGCCAATGGTGGACCAGGTTTTGACTCATCTCTATGTCAGTGCAAAGACTGTGGCCATGTGGTGAACGCGCAAGAGTGCTCATGTCAATCCGTAGAGTGCAGGGTTTCAGGGTGTTTTCACCAGGTTGGAGCAAGGGCATCGCTACGAACGGAGCTCCTGGCATCGATATACGAACGGAGCATTCTTATAGCCACTAGGAGCACGGAGCTCCTGGCATCGCTACTAGTAACAAAGGGCATTACTATATGCTATAGTAATTCTTCCTACTCCGCGGTGTTGAGACTCATCACGGAACTCATCAACGTTGACCCTCCCAATGGTTCCAACGTTAGACTCCCGGTGGTTCCCTTTGTCCCAAACCAACACGTTCCGCGAGTCGGTACGTGGCCACCGCCTAGGTTGGTCACCATGACACCGCCCCCACATTCAGCCAGTTCGGACAGGGTCCCTCTATCCCGTCATGCAACGAAGACCCAACAGGTGGCGATGGCAACCTAATAGCAAAAGGAACCTAATTGATAGGGATGGCCTCCAACCTACTGGCGATGGTCTCCAACCTGATAGCAGGTGGTGTTCACTCAAAGATCTTTCAGCCCCAGCGCCGTCGTCGCTCGCGGCCGCCGGCACCTGGCCCCTCTGAAAACGCAGCACTTCGACCAGGCGTGTCTCCAGCAGCCGTACCAAAAGCCTTGGCCACCAAATCACCCCAAACACTCCGTATGTTGAGATGATTTGCCTATACCACCCCAGAAACCCCTCGAATGTAGGTATATACCTATAGATCTTCCAACCGTGCAGAATTTCTGCCGCAGAATGTTGCACCGTTGGATCACCTGGACATCGGAAACTCCCACGTGGAGCAGCGAATCAGCTTTTTGACTTCGGCGTCCGGTTCGACGACGTGGTCTGAACAGTGCCCCTCTCAACCCCAACAAATGCTCAGAAAGGAACATCGCTATCGCCAGGTTCCAAAGGGGTGGACAAATAGTTCCGATCATCTTGGCACCCATCTCTTCGAAGTTCACCCCTTGGACATGGGTGTTTTTCATTGTACCATGTATCACGGTACCTTCAAAAATCTCTGGGGAGTCCTGTCTTGAGACCCGAGTACAGCAGGGTATTCCAAACCTCGAGTTCGGAAGGTGCTGCATTTATAGATACCTCTCAGCGAATTATACCATTTGCAATCCATACTGCGATTCGTCTTAGAAAACGACACCGTCTGGTCAAACGTCTGTTCCCGGCAAACCAACTCTCCTGGTCCTGCGGCCTGTCGTTTTGTCTTCGCTTCCCCTGCTTCGCTTCTAAGAGTCTCCCCTTGTTCTACCCAGACGCAAACCTTCGACGCTGGACCCGAATCCGAGGGGTCTGGGGGTTCTCACCAACCCCGATCGGTTTCTGGGTCGAACACTCCACTTTCGGATCCTTCAAGTTTTCTTTAAAGTCGATGAAGTCGACCTGGTTTGTTCTTCCGAACATGTGGCCCCAAGGCTTGATCTGTTTCTTTTCTACAAGGTCCTATGGTTCGACAGTTTGGCTCCAAAGATCCTGCCTGTCTCAAGGTACAAACAACGGGTAGATACTACGAGTACGGTCTATACAGGGTCATAGGGTAGTTTGGAGGCTCCAGGTGCTTTCCTTTGTTCGCATCAAGGTGCTGCAGTTGCATCAGCTCCAGCAGCTCTTCTGCGCATTTTTTCGAGCGAATCCGCACACGAACTGGAGGACATCTGCAGCGGGAAGCAGAGCACCGTGCTCCCCTGCGGTGGGCCAGGGGAGTAAAACCGGCACAAGTACGGCACGGCTTGGGGGAATACGCAAGGTGGGCGAAAACATATACTCCATGTATGGAATATTTTGCCAACACTGGGGTGATTTTAAGATGCTTTAAGGGTCAATCGAGTAGATATATTCCACACATGGAAATTCCGAGATGGCTGAGCCAATGCGGGCTGCATGATGTTATGAAACGGAGCAAATGATGTTATGATTAAAACATATATGTGATTCATGATCTTTGAGCGTTCCAAGGATGTGCCAAAAGAACCTGATAAGTGTTCACTGATCTATCTATGATGGTGTAGCAAATATTCCACTATAATTGCCTCACATCGCCCTCAACACCCCATGTCTGGCTCTAAGCGGCTTTCAAGCTCAACTGGATTCTTTACTTGCATTGGACACCAAGAGCTTTACAGTAAAGATTCTTTTGGTATACCTTGGTTTTCTACTAATATCATATCGGTATTTCATGGTATTTCATTTAGAGCAACAAGCTTCTCCTGGCCGGTCGCTCCGCAAAAAAAAGAAGAAACCATGCGCCTTGGGTTCGACCATCCGAAGGTGGACGTCTTCCTGGACGGACTTCGTTGGAAAATGAATCTCCTGGCCGACCGTCCGCGCCTCTCCAACCGTCCGCTCTCCCCAACGACCGGTGGGAACCCAGCCGGACAAGATCTTGGGCGTGGAACTGGCTGCTAGAGGCGGTTCAGAAACAACACATGTCCGCTATGTTTTTTTGTAAATGATCAAAGACATAGATTGGTGGCGCTTGGGGGTGTCCCCCCATTGGCCCAACTGGAGACCTGTAAGGTGCCCTGACTTCGCCCCCAGCTGTTCAGGTCATCTGGATGCGACCGGAAACATGCCTGATCGGATGGTCCCATGCTTCATCAGCCCGGATTTGAACCGCCACTGACTTCATAGGAATCCCGAACCACCATTGTAAGGATGTTACACTGCAAAATAACCATGTCAGCCCTTCTTTGAAGGCTAGGGATGGCTAGGGTATATCATCGCCCACAGCGTTAACGCAAGGTGAGCCGTGCTCACTTGGATGGATCTACCCAAACGCGACGCTGGACCCGAATCCTTGTACGGAGGGGTCTGGGGGTTCTCACCAATCCGGTTGGGTTCGGGACTTGGGAGTCGGGCGAGAAAACGAAGCGTCTGGGTAGAAGTCAAGGCATTCCACGGATCGGGTGCCTCCGGATGTGGCTCATGTTCTACGGCTCGGCGAGGCTCGATCACCCTGTTTTTGGGTCACCAGCTGTTGGAAGCCTAACACCCAAAGAACCTTCTGGGTATCGCATTCCAAGGCTCAACCAAAAGAAAGATTGATTGAGGGATCCCTGCATTATGAAGATTGTTTCTGCAGTTCAATCAATGTGATAGAGCTGATATGAGCCGATACAACCATAAAATCCTAGCATCTATTAGCTCATACCAAACCACCTACCCGCGACAGAACTTCACAACCCGCAGACCGTGGCCATCCCTGACCTGCGCGGCCCGCGACCCGCAACCACCGTGGCCATCCGTGACCCGGTCCAGTGACTTCACTGATTCTCGCATGGTCAGATCGTCGCATCTCTCGTTCGAACCATCCCTGGAGTGTGTTGTTTTCGGCAGACGTGACGGTGGCACCGAGTGGTCACTGGCGAGACTCGTACAAACACTTTGGGGAATGAAACCAAAGGAGGCTCTAAATGAAACTTCCCGAAACTTCCCGAGTCGCATCAGTTCGTGTCTCAGTACTAAGTGGTTGAAGGACCGGCTGCCTAGGAGTGCACGAAGCAGAATGACCCGGCCAGTGTTGAAGAAAGCTTAGAATTTGGAGCAAGTTGGGGAGGGTGCTGCAGAATGTTCACAGATTGAGATGTTGGAGAGTTGGTGTTGTGATGTGTTGTGGCCCCAATGCCACTTAACAAAGCTGGCGCAGAACTTGTGAGGGCTGGAACTAGGGCGAAAGAACGGCGTGTTTTTTTGGTGAAGCCTATGCATAGTGCACTGACAAGACAAAGCTGTATCGCCCTACCGTGATGACCTGACGAAATGAGGTGATCCTGTGCTTCGAATTCCCAGACACTCCATGGGACTGCCATATATGCCGCCCCATTGACCCCAAGTCAACCACCCCTGGCCTGATCGGTATATGCCAGTCCCATGTGTCGTGTCTGGGCTATGGATGAATTTGGGCTGTTCCATGATGTCCCATGTTTCATCGAATGTTCAGCAGCGCCCAGCAGGTGGCGCCGTGCAAAAAGCTTCTGCTGTTCTGCCTCACCTCTTGAGGCGAACATGCGAAGAAAAGCAAGTGACGTCACCAAGGAATCACCAGCTGAGAATGAATCATGCAGCATCGCACCAGGGAAGAAGCAGCAAACCTCAAAAGTCTCCCGCAGACCCTTGGGTTGAATGCTTTGCCTTGACCGGCCTTTAGCGTTCACTAAGCTTCAACTTGTACCAGATATGTATCTTAAGTCTTCCGTCGGCACCATCGTCAACTGAAAGCATGGTCTCGTTTGCATCATCGCAGGGTATACGTATCCTTCTACGATCACACGTACGATCTCTCCAGCTATCCCAGATCTTTGGGATCCCAGAGTCCATCGAGAAAGCGATGTTCGATCGACTCTGGGAGAGGTCCCCAATCTGTTCGACACGGTGGCGGACCCTCGGCGTCTCCTCGCGGAGCCGAACCCGGCATGTCGAACCATTCCACCCGCCCAGGCGCCGATTGGGGATTGAGCCCAGATAGGTCTCCAGCAGTGTCATTAGCTTCTCCTGATAAATCCACACATGCTCCGAATGTGTTGGTCAAATTTGGTCTGAAGGCCCGTACTACTGCAAGATTGAATTGATCACAAGCAAGAACACCACATGCCTGACTGCCCTGACATTCCCCACACAAAACATCCAATTGGAAATAGAACATGCGAAAAGACAATGCGATTCGACTGCCCGATGCAAGAGTTTTCATCGCCGCCATGCCCACCACTGCGATCGTCTCGGTTCTCCTTCTTGGGCAATTTGCCCGTCAAAACAAAGGTCCACTCACGTGGTTGGCTGGCCCGCTCGTTGAAGATCTGGTGCCGCTAGAAGGGGACTGCGTAGTTGGTTCGTTTTCTGTAGCTTATTGGAATCCAATCGTTCGGGATCTCGGATTCTTGTTTATCTACCAGGAGTCGACCAGTTGGTAATGTTGGTACTGATAATTCAGAAACTGGGGTACAGTCGTACCTGTTTTTTTTGAGGAGTGAATCGGACGTCCATTCTTCTCACCAAATCTGGGATCACCAATTGGTCTGAACATCTTCAACCCTTTCCATGGCTTCTCTTCGGTCTCATGATGTCGGGATTTGCGATCAAGCACCCTCGAGTCGGTGAAGGTGTTCAGGGTCCAAGGGCCCCCCCTGCGGAACCTGCGTTCGGTCCAGTCACCCTCCAGTTCAGGCTTTGATGGACTGCAAACTCCGCAGTCCGGCCGCAGCGCGCCTGTGCAGCCGTTTTGAAGTTCAATCGCAAAATTCTCCAAAGACTCGGCAACCAAGTATACCTCCGGTCCGTCAAAAGAAGAAGTCCACACAGCCCACCAGACGACTCCGGCGCGAGGGCGAGACGGCCGAACGTCTAGTTAACACACAGATGACGGTGGAGCAGTCGACGTCGGACGAGTGTTGGAGGGCTCGGCACATGGGCCGTGCAAAGCTGGAACATCCTGCCACTTCTCTCGCCATGTGACGGATGGTTGCTGCTCACAGCACTCAGCACACGGCGTCGAAACTGACCTCGGCGAAAAAAACACAGGGCAGGTAGGCCATAGTCCATAGATTCTGGATCATTTCCAACTTCAAGACCCTTCAACATTCAATCGAGTCCTCAAAGACTTGGGATGCCATGTTTGGTCAAAAGGGGAAACCCTTGGACACCCTGCAAATGCGGAAAGGAGCCCGAGATCCCTGGAGACTAAAGGTGAACCACCTTGAATTCCACCTGTTCTATATATCCGTCATTCCCACGTTTTGGTGGGACAGCCTTGGACACACAGGTCCAATGGCCAGGGTTGCAGCCATAATTAACAAAGGGAACACGTTTCCTAGCCTGGAAAAACCGGCCGCTCTCAACATCCCCGTTAAACCGTTAAACATTCCGGACTGACGTCCCGCGAGCCGATCTTTCCCATCCAAAAGGAGGCAACCGAAACGTTCTTCGTTCACCGTTGGAAAAAGTATGGCCGGGCCTGTCTAAGTATGACCCCTTGGGTATCCTTGGGTAGAGCTCGCCCACACTGGCGCTCACCACGTGGAGTCATGACACCCCGGTATCGTGGTTTGTCCAGCTGCTGAAAAAAAACGAATTCCACCTGTTCTTGGTGGAGAACCCAATTCCCCCAAACAACTGGATTTAAAAGAAATCTTCACCCCCAAAGCTATGGGTTTCCTGCAGATGCTTCCTTAGCTGAAAGATGCTGAAAGTGGCTTCAAGCTCGTGTTGGCCGGCGGCGTGTTGGCCGCACCGGCTCATGGGACATCGCTAGGTCAATTCGACTGGATTCTGTTCACCCGTTCGTTCTTCTTTCTTCGGCATCAAGGGTCGACCGTTGTTTCCTTTCGCATTGAAGAAAGGGGTGCGCAGGGGCCCAGCCAAAAGCATCCCAAACACGCCAAAAACCATCCAGCCCGTCCAGAAAGGAAGCATTGAGACCCTGGATGCCTGAGGATGCCTGGCGATGCATTTGGCTTCTTCCAGACCTTCTCTCCACCTTCCCTGCCTGGAGCACCCACTAGTAATTCGACCCCACAGACCCTCGATCTCCCAAGCAACTCTGAGGGTCTCGATCCTCGGCCAAACGCCACGCGAGGAGACCCAACTTCACTAAGCTCAGCCTGCGCCAGCCCCGCGGTCCGCGCGGCTCCACATGGCGAGCGAGGTCGGGGGGTAATAAGCGAGGTCGGGGGAGAACGAAGACTTCTTTGGGAGGGATATGATGGTATATGCATAATTGGACGAACATATCACGTGGAAAGTGGAGTGGAAAAACCTCATGTTTGTAAAGGAAAGTCGTCTTCCCAGGGATTGTTTGATAATTCTTGCCATCCACCTGACCCTGTGTCGTGAGTGTTGAGTCGCTCATCAGGTGAAGAAGGAACAGCTTTTGGCGTGTCTCTTGAGGGTCAGCTCTGGTTTTGCACGCGATGGACGTGAAGATGGAAAGATTGTGAAAGATAGGTCAATGATCACTGTTTTGATAGGAAAGGGCCGGAGGGGAAGGTTATCATTTTAACACTGCGAAGGTCCCAAAGGTACCGCAGACAGCAGACATGTATATACTAATATGTTGGAAATGATGTATGGCGAAGTGGACCACGGTGGTCAGGACATGTGAAATTAGAAATGGCTCGCCAAAGCCATCGCATCAGACCAGGTGTGGGGCATGTATTCAGAATCCGGACCAGAGCCAGGCTTTGAAATCCATCCGTGCCATCCGCTTCGGACCGTCAGAATACCGGGGCATGGGACGTCTGAACGTCTGACCCTTCCAACAAAACCAGGCACGGACGTCAATGGACTCCGACTCTGAGGTAAAAAAAACTCACAGGTCGACTCCAAGCGCGCCGATGTCGCTCAAATCGGTATCAACTCAATGCGCCTTCCTGCACTGGCTGAACTGGGCACAGGTCGCACGAAGAGCAGTGCCACCAGCATCAAAAGAACCTGGCTTGCTCCATCACAGGGTACACTCCCTGAAATGGATGCATTGTCCACTTATACATGATGATTCCAGGGAGTGCAAAAATCAGGAAACAACTCAATTAGTGCAGAAAGACAAAGCGATGGCTGCGGGTCGAAACATATTCATAGATTCATAGTACAAGCAAATCTATGCCCCTTAACTCTAGCATTTGACCTACAGCAGGTGACAAAAGAAGGCAGGTGCCTCGAAATCAGCAGGCGAGGAAGATGCATCCATCGATGTGGTGTAGGCCTGTTTCATCAGTCCAAATAGGCAACTCCAAATACCCGCTCGAGGCATCTTCAAAAATTGTTGGTTTCCTTGCGACTACCTTCCTCAAACCAGCATAGCTCCTGGTAGAAGAAAGCCATGAAAAAGGCCCAAGGCCCGCTAGCGACTGGTCCGTCGAAACAACCCTCAACGCCTCCATGCTTGGAGGGTTGGGATCCACTCGCTTCCCCTCCAAGCACTCCTGAAGTCGGTGCGATCCAATCGTTGAAGTCGGTGGCGGCAGAGTCGGTGGCGACTCTGGAAGCATAGAAAACCCGCCAAACATGGACTGTAAAAGCTCTTGCCCTGGGGGGCTGGGGATGACTGGGGGGGGGTGTTTCATCCAAGATTCTACAACTCTGTGTAGAGTAGAGGGATGAAAAAGGAACGGCATTGGCGCCATTCCTAAAGCATCAGCCACTTCGACTTCGCTGATAGTTTATCTTGCGGGGGGGGGCGGTTCAACATCAATGGTACACATCTGCCCACTGAGAGGGGAGATGAAAACAAAACTCGACTTGAAAGCATCTGAACTCAGATTCCTTAGACCAACATCAGGCGATAATGTGCTCCTCCATCCCACTGAAAGAACCACTGCCCATTTGTCCTGCCGCCTGATCAGTAGCAGTTCCAAGGAGTTTGGGTGGTTAGGTGCTCTCCACGGAGGAAGGTGGTTAGGTGCTCAACTCCGTCCATTCACGTCCATGGCCCCGTCGGATGGGACGAGCCAGACTCCCGTACCTCCTCAAATGGTCATAGTTGAACCCTCCTGGCACCCACCCCAGTCCCACTTTCGAAGAGAAGGTACGGCTGGAGCGCGTTCACCCAGAAAATCCAGGCAGTGCAGTTCCCACGATGTCGCTGGGAGTCCCAGTGGTTCCAAAGTCCAAGCCCATAAGACTTCCCTAGGAATCCGGGATCCAAGTACGTCCTCAGAGGGTACTTGGACCCTCCAAACTTACATAAACAGTCTCCAATCACCGTACCTGACAAGGTACTTGGATCCACAAGACTTAGAAACCCTGGCTCCTTCTATAGTGGTTACCTGGGATCCACTGGGTATAGGGTATCTGAAACCACTCGACTCAGTTGAGACTGAGGAGCCCTGGATGGGATTCCACCACCTGCCGGAACGTCCGGTCGCCGTCGCCTGCAGCGACTCGGCGGGCAAACCACAGATGCCCAACATCATGGCCTCGTTTGGCATTGGCACTTTGAGGACCCAGGTATGGAGCATCAAAAAGGTTTATACACTACACAAACACTCCATGGGACCGCCACATATGCCTACACTGGGGTGGTTTTGGGGGGTCAATGTATGCATATATATGGAGTGTCTGGGATATACAATGGTTCCGGTATGGATACGGGTGTGTTGGTAGCAAAAGAGAACTGACAAGCACGAGCGATTATCCTATCCTATCAGTCGTTCTTTCAATCGCTGAAGCGGTCGGGTCCCAAAACAGCCTGTCGGAGGGTCCTGGTAATTGAATAGAGTTACATGAACCACGTGAATGACCCGAATGTAAGTGGCAAGAAGTAACTATTCAATACATGGATGGTACTATGGATGGTCTGGGTACCTTCACCCCTGACCTGATCTGTAAAAATTGACAGTCCCAGACAGGTCGTGTCTGGGTACTGTTTGCATTGGAAGCCAGATTCTGGGACTCTGCTGGAGGCGGCCAAACAACAGAAGGCTTGCGTTGGGATATTTCCAGGTCGGACAGCCAGAACACCATGGAAAAAAGAACATGGAAAAGAAAGAATCAAAATGAATCAATCATTATTGCGGACCCGCCTGCTTTAACCACCTGAAATGTGCAAACGCCGGTTTTTGTTGGAGGAAATTGAGAAGTCTATCCCCAAAAGGGATCCACTGCCACCTTCTCAGAAGGTAGACTTGGACCCTCCAAGCCTACAAACACAACAAATCAACAAATGTGTCTCCAATCATCCTCTCAGAGGGTCAGCAAAATGCACAGGGGTATGCTGCCAATTCCAGCCTGGCCATCGCGGTTTCAGGCTACACCGTACCGTTCCGTTCCGTAAGAAAACACACCGGGCAGCCGACACATCGTTGCGACACACGTGGCATCACGTGGCCGCGTTGCCCAGGCCGCGTTGGAAAAACGGTGCGTCCGACGAACGAGACTCAGAATTCTCATGGATGGCATGGCATGGCACCGATGAGAGTCCCTTTTCCTTGGCTTCTCGTTGAGGTAAGGTACGTGGTTTTCACATGTCACTCCATGAAACCATGAGAGAAAAGGCCCGGGAGTGCGGTGGCAATTCTTGAAATCTATCGTTGCGTCCAAGAGACGCACATCTGGTTCACTTGGGCTTCGCAGCTGATGCCTGTCTCGTAGGCTCTCGTCGCAAAAAAAGCACAAGGACACGGGATGGACAAGAGACAGGTGAAACAACAAAGGCACTGCCGATGCGTCCGAACACCGGGCCTCCACTAAACATACCGTTCTCCTGGAGCAGCATCGGGACCAAAGGCTTGACTGATTGGCTGTGAGTACCGCTACACATATAGTGTATATATATGATCATGTAACATATGTTGAACTGGCTGAATTCGCAACTCGTTTACCCCCTAATCGACAGTCTCGCAAGGGGAAGTAAAAAACACTCGACAGCGCAACGAGTAAACCGGAGGTGAACCACACACCGTCTTTTTTACCAATTGCCAAACGTCAGTTTTGGAATGTGTGACGTTCACCAAACCTACTCAGTTGCTTCTGAAACAAATCTATCTTGGTTCAATTTGGTTCAGGCAGTCTCTTCTTCTGCGTCACACATACCTGCTCTACAGTAGAGCAGTGGACGGCCTTTGTTGTCGTTTATCAACAGTCCAGGGCCACAGCTGCAAGAATTCGTAAAGCCTTGCTACATGATGCACATGTGATTGGTTTCACATAAGGCTATAGAGAAAGGGGATGAACGAGGCCACAGGAACCTGGACATCTTCCATCAGAACATGGATGCATCTGTATTCTCCCTGGAACTCACATGGTTTCCATTTAGTTCACCCCCCTGATTGGCTGTGGAAGGTCATGGTCTTCCGAACGAGTTTGGGGCGCAAAGCCGGCTTGGTTTCTTGGTTTCCTGGTTTCGTGCATCAAAACAGACCCGAGCTACAAAGATCACATGGTGAGGTCTCCAGAGTTTTAGAGCAGGAACCCACGGGCGCCCGTGAATGGGGCATGCGCTGTGAATGGACAGCACTTTCAACTTCTAAGCCTAAGCCTTTTCAACCCGCCATGTCCATCTCATACTCTCTTCCTCTCCCATGGACTTCTTCACCAAAACGGGCGGCAGGCGGCCGACCAGAAAGTGACCAAGTAAGATGCTGAAACGGTGGAACCATAAATCAAGAAAAAGGTCCTTCCATGTAGGGGGTCATATTTGAATGGGTCGAGCCAAACCACCAGACTGGAACTCTGGGATTTGGCCGTCGAACTTCCAGAACCGGCCAGTTCGAATCTCCAGACCAGGGGTCACATGGAGGCCAGGGTAGTCTTGAGTCTCATCAGGCCGTGGATGTGACGCGACCGGGATCGTCCGGGCACCCTCCAAGTCTGGCACCCCGACATGGAGCTGGAAGGGGATTCACTTATGTTCGGAAAATGAAACCAAACATCCGATATGTCCAGAGTCCTGGACCAGCCGTGGTGTAAGTTCCACGCCGCCCCCCCCCGCCGCTTCTCCTGGAATTCTGAAAGGCCGCCCCAACGTCGACCCCTCAGCAGGATCTCATCGTCGAAGAGGTCCGTCTCCTGGACTTCGTCGAAGGGGTCCAAGAAGCGTCGACACCCATCGCCCCGGGCGGAGAGTCGGCGGAGAATTCATGTTAAACCGAACCCCCCCGCAGGGCGTCGGAACGCCGAAGTCCGGTGGAGGCGTACCTCCCTTTTGTTGCAGTAAGCCATCTCTTTCAGTGGCTTTTGGGTGGAGGCCATCGCTACTAGGTTTCCATATCTTCCAGTCCCATCTTTTGGACTGTCTGGCAGCTGGGTCCTCGGATCGGTTTTCGTCCGGAATCCCGGAGGACCGACCGCTCGAGAGAGCACGAGTGGAGTGAAGGGAAAAAACAGCGTCAACTCCGTGGGATCGAGTTGAGCGTAAACTGGAAGGGTTTGTGATCGAATTGTCATCGAAACAGCTCAAATCCATGGGGAGAGATGCGGTGACTAGTCGAGCACTCCAGTCTTTTTCTCCTGAAAAGGTGATCGACTCCAAACATCACCACACCCGTTTAAATTGGAAGTTCTCATTTCTCGTCTGTGCGAAATGAACATCACTCCAAACACAGGTTCAGTAGTGATGACGCTCCAAACATCACCCCCCTGTTTCAACCCAAAGAATTATCATCACCAAACACATCCAAACCAGCACCCTCCAACAGGCTGTTTGAAATCCCTAACAGGTGGTTTCTGGGCACCTGTTGTCACCAGGAAACACCTGGCCAGGAGGGTTCAGGAACACGTTATCTTATCTTGTCTTCTTGACAAACAGGTGTCTGCTTTATTGATATTCTTTGCAGCTACACACAACTCCTCTACTCGACCTAACGTTTCCCTCACGCTGGTCCAATATGGTTTTCTGGACATCCTTTACAGAACAAGTGGTTGGGACTGGGAAAACATTTCTGGGACAGGGACTAGGTTTCAAGGTAGAGGGAAAGCGGGACTGCCAGACTCACCCAGATTCTCCTTGAGGAAGATTCGAAGTCCATTCTGGAGGATCACTTCCTGGAAAAAGTGCATCTGAACATGGGAAGACATGGCAAGACCAACCACTGCAATTTCATACATTTGTCCTAATGTAGAACTATGTAGAAATACTATCTATCATCAACACCCCATATATGAAAGGTTGTACCATCCAAATGTGGAGGGTTAACACCCGATTGAGCCCTTCTCTGGCAGTCTTTTGTGGGTGAGTCACACTAATCACAACTGGTGCAGCGTGACCAGTTGGCGAGGGGCGTCCTACCCTTGATACAACTGGCTATACGCCGCCCTCAGTCCTGAGCAGCTTGGATTAAATAGACCACTATGACACTATGATAGCTTTGAAGAAGGGCTCCGCTTTGCTCGCACGCACGAATATCCATCGAATAGAGAAAACGTTCAAAAGGTATAAGAGTAAAAGTAGAAAAAGAACGAAAAGAGTCTCCTCGCCGAAGGCTTCTTCGCTAACCTCCATGGAGCCTTCCTCCTTCCGTGATGGCTTTGGAACACCTTCTGCACGCACCTGACTCCGGAGTTTTAAGCCAACACCGAAGACTTCGGTTCTGATGTTGCAAAACAATTAAGTGTGTTACAAACAACCGGAATTTACCCCAAAAACATCAAGAATCCTGAACCTTGCGGCATCTTCACCCACTTGCCCTCGATGTTTCATCCTACAACCTCGTTCATGCCGCTTCCTCACTTTCTTCATCTTTCTTCCGAAACGGACTGGATCATCACACAGAATCATTTGACACAAGAAACCTTGATGTGGCTATGACTCGGATGCCATAGTGCCGTCCCCCCCCCAAAAAAAATAGATACAAACCGACACAAATCTGCGGGCGCCTGGGCCTAGATTTAAAACGGTTTCGAACCAATCCCGAGGGACCGGGCGTGAAAGGGGCTGTGAACGGAGCGGTGTGAACTCGCAGCGTCGACGTGGTGAGCTACCCAAAGACCGACCGACCCGACGACGATCTGAACATTAACCCTAAGAATCCGGGCCCGTTCCGCAACACACATAGGGTTTTAGGGGTTTAGATGGGTGAGAAGGGTCCGTCTGCCCCCCTGCGTGACATCGGTGGAGAAGGCCCGACTTTTGGCACGGAGGGCACATGCGGATTCTTAGGGTATTCCAAAAAAAAAGGTATGAGTATACCATCTTGTGCCCATGTTCTGAGGTACGAACAGGTCGACTCGCGTTGCTCGTGTTGTATCCTTGTACATCATGTAGAACTGTCTGCTTGTTCATCTATAAAACCAGCCAAAAGATGCCAAAAGGCAGATTGTTTGCAGTTGGAACATCATGGAAGATCTAAAAAATTAAGCCATGTCTTGGTTTCCAGCTTCGACTTCCTCGACTGTCCTCGCCTCTCGACCGCGGGAGGTTCCGGTGCGACTGGGAGGGAGCAGTTCCTCCGCGCAGCCCTCGAAGAGGTTTCGAAGACGTTCTTCCGGATCATCCGCATCAGGAGGCCATGCCTGCAAACGATTCGGGCGGCGAGGCTGGCGGTCTTTGGTGAGAAAAACCGACACAGAAGCGAGGTCTTGAGGCGTTCGTTTGACGGCGCCTTAACGAGAGTCTAGAGGCGTGATAGTCCGAGTGTCGACGGCTTGCGATGCTGTAGACTGTAGATACTTTACGGCGACTGGTAGGTGTTGCCATGAAGAGGTCACTGAAAGACCTGAATCTTCTCCGTTTCGGTCTGTTTTTGGACTTGGCGAAAGACCTTAGATTTTCGGTCGAGGCTTCGAGGCGAGGCCATCCCAAAATGGCATGTAACTATTCCATACCTGGATCTTCCAACTGTGCAACATTTCATGGCTGGTGTTATTGATGAAATGCAGAAATTCTGCACAGTTGGAAGATCTAGGCATACATGGATCCATGTTTATAGGAACTAAACTAGCAAAAAATGCCATCTGCTAGCTTCTTCAGTACGTGGTCGAACTTTGGTAGACCGACCGATGAAGTTCGGTGTGGAACGAGGCGGTCTATCCATTCAGGGTTGACTTCTGTGCCTGCAGACTGGTCTGCAGACCGGAATGGGTAGCGCTGCTTCGATCGTCCTCCAAATTCCAAAATCCTGCTTTCTCTCGAAAGCCTCCATCTGCTCGGAAGTCACACTCTTCATGATCTGTGCCACCTCCTCCTCAAAAGGCAATTCACCGACCAAGCGATGGGGTTCCGAACAAAACGGCCAACCGCGATCTGTGCAACTCCGAGAGATGTGGAGATGGATGGATCTGCCAAGTGTTTGCTAGAAATAGTGTTCAAGCTTCATCGGATGAACATGCGCGTCAATCCATGAAAGCTCTGTGCAAGCGGTCGAATACACTAGCTGTATTGTGTCTACCGTCTACCTCTAAAATCTTGGTCACTCCCCAAGTCCTCATGATTGAAGCAAACATCTCAATCCCGCTGGCTAGTAGGGGGAATCCTCAGTGGCAACCCACTTACAGCATCTGAATCTGGCAGTCCTCCCCTGGCAAATCCAGGGATGGTCTTGGCAAGCTCATTTGTCTACAGGCCTCTCTGTGGCGCGACGAGTGAATCCTTCGAATCCGCTCGGAGATCGTCTGATTTTGGGGCAAGACGGATTTGGAGACGTCGGATGGGCACGTCGGATGGCACGTTGGACTGGACTTCACAGCCAGCTTCCACCAAATCAATACCAAACACTTTGATACATCGGTGCACCCCATTTTCTCACCATCCCAACATGACGCTCGCTTTCCATCGCGCGAGCGGCGGACATCGCCTGCATGACGCTCCAACAGGTGTAAGCTGGACTTCGGACCGACATCAGCGGAGTGGCCTTGGGAAGGAAGGCCGTCGCCAGCCGGAAGAACCGAATCGCGTTGAAAACATGTGGCGAGACATCTAAAACCCTAGAAGTGCAGTTCGACTATCTTTGGCCCCACTGAAATCAAGTCTTCTGCAAATTCCTGGAGAATCGGGGCACCTCACAGAGCCGAGATTGGGGGCGTCAGAGCGGGGATGAGCAGGGAAGACACAGCACGCACGGCCTTCTGAAACAGAAGAAATACCAGTTGGGAGCACCACGGAGTGAAGTGGTGGTTTTGTTTGACACCGGAGGAAACGATGTGGATGATTGTGGATGTGTGTTCTCCATCGCAGGGCCGTGCAGGGGTGAACAAATGGAGATCCAGTGCAGGGCCGTGCAGGGCCGTGCAGGGGTGACCCATGAGTGACCCCATAAGGAAGGTGCTGGCATTTTCCATCTAATCACCACCCAAACTGGGTGGTGCATGGTTCATATTGACTTGCAAAATCCACTGGGAGGACAGAAGGGCCCCTGGTTATGCTTGAGAATGACATGGGGGCTGGGAGAGTTTTCCTTTGAACATGTTGGGACTTAAGTAGCCGTGTGGCCTTTCGCAAGAGCCTCTCCGGGCCCAGGTTTCGATGGTAGAGAAAGGCAGGACAACAGCAGTCCATGAAATACATCGGGTCAGAATTGTCGGGTTTACTTCAAGACCCCAGGACCATCCAGACCCTGCTTGATCCCAGATTTGGGTGACTCGGTGACCCAACTTGATCCCCTTGGTCTGGTCACAGCCTGGTTGGGTCACCGATTTTTCAAAGTTCGGTCACGGGTTTGGCTGGCGAATGGATTAATTACACCTGACCCTGTCATCACATGTCATCACACCTGACCCTGTGCTTTCTTTCGAAGACTCCATGTGCAAACACCTGTTTCACCCAACCTCTTCGGTTCACCGCTCACCTCTTCGGTCGACCGATGACCCCGGTTGTTTTTTCACACCGGGTCCCCGGCGTGACCAACACCCGCGACTCGCGACCGTGTGAAGTGGTGGCTCGACAAAATGGGTCTGGCACCCGGTGAACAGGCGTCCCAGTGGCGATTTTCACCACCACGTTCTTGGTGAAATCGTAGAGCTTCGCCACGCTGGAGACCTGCGAGTTATAAACCCCCCGTATGAAGAGCATGTCCAATATAAAACTGGGAGCCGTTTGATCTGTGAACAGGGGACAGTCGACGTGGATGCGTCTGTGTCTGCGAGTGTGCGCATTCCAATGGGATCGGTTTATTAATGAGTCCACATGAACAGCTGCGACCGGTCGCGCCGGCGAAGGTCCTCAAAGGCTAAGCTGTTCGACGTGGTGGGGCGAAGGTCGTGGGTACCCACCGTCGGGGTCCAAACCCGGAACCCGTTTTCTGCAAGACGGTACCATCTATCGACCACCGGAAGGGGGACGGAGCTTAGTTCAGCTGAAATCAAGAACCCATGTGCATGTGTTCAGTCTTTAAGGGAGACACACTGGCTTGAAGGCAAGACGGGTTGTTTATGGTTGTTTCAGGCTTCGTTCTTCTTCCCGTTTTCAGATGCGGGCTGAAAATCTTTCGCAAGCAAGCTGACAGGACAATGGGTTAAAACATGAAGATCATGAACCGAAGTCCTGCACTACGGCGCCACGGCTTTCAGGGACGAACAACAATGTTCATGATCACTGCCCCTCCACCGGTTGGTTCCCGATGAACACCGACTTAAATGATGCTCACCCGCCCAGTGTGACTATACACAAACACTCCATGTCTGGCATAGTTGCCTACATCAGGGGTCAATGTAGGTATATATCATATATATTCCATACATGGAGTGTCTCGGATATTACAACAGGTTAACCCAACTTTTTAATGGTCCATGTCGAAGCGAAGGTCAAGGATTTTGGGCCCATCATCCGTCCCTGCCACCCGTCGCCCCATCTTTTCCTCGCCTCATCAGGGCTGATGCCTGGCAATAAGTGCGCCGCTAAGCGTGCACGTTCGACAACACCTGGAGCACAGTCCTGGTGATGCGGCACAACTCATCCCACTTGGTCACTTGGATGTTCTGAATTCAGGGAAAAAGGATGAAAAAGGTATAGACTGCCTGAAGGGGATTCACGATTTTTTTTTAGACACACTACCCAGGACCCAGGTCACATGAAACTCATTAAAAGGAAAACACGTTGCTCTATCTCTATTGTAATAAGCTGGGCAATAATCGATGTATATATCATTTAATTATGCCAACCAATACACAAACAGAACACAGATCCCTGCTACCCCAGGGGGTGGGGGGGGTCGGACCCCCAACAGAAAATGGATTATCCATTTTTGACCCTGATGATGCATTAGCAACGGTCTAGATCCAGTGATATTCAGTGTCGTCCATAGCACCAGCCTGCACTTACCCAACCTGTTTTGCACTTTCTGCATCATATTTTGCATCGTTTGGGTTGTGTTTTTGATCTTTTGGCGTCATCTTTTTGGTCTCTTTTGGGCTGCGTCCTGTTTCTGGTCGAGAACAAAAAAAGCATTGGATAGGGGTCCAGGTATCTGGTATTTCGAAGTGCAAAACAAGCGAGCGTTGGGTTGTATATCTTGTTACATCGAGCGTTAAATCAAAGAAGCAGACCTTGATTTACATTGCGTGGACGCGTTGCCTAATACACTGCATGGACGCGTTGCTTACGCCCGCGGGGCGTAAGCGATGCGGACCCTCAGGGAGCTCCGAGCAGTGGGACCGCGTTGCCGTCCAAAAGGTCGCGTTGCTTACGCCCGCGGGGCGTAAGCGATGCTCCTTGTTTTTTCGGATTTTTGGCTACATTCAAAGCAAGACCATCATATTCAATCATGCCAGCATGGTCAAGTGAATTCAGGCGGTTCACACGATCTTGACACTTTTTTTTCTTTCCCTGTGTCTTAATCTACTGCCCAAGCGGAAAGCCATCAGAAGTCTTGAATCTGGTGGGCACCCTGGCATCTCCATGCTCAGACTTGTATTCAGTGAGCTTGCTGAAGCCTCTTTCCCATCGCTTGTCAAAATTTCTCGGGGCCACGCGGAGATAAAACTGGAAACATGTTGGCTGTGTAAATGGAATATTAAAATGGAATTCCTAAAGGTACCCCCCCCTCGATCCTCCATTTTCGAGGAGGGGGGATGAACACAGCAGTCCTCGTCCAAGAAGAGTGATGTGAATTCCTCTGCAAAGCTCTCAGAGGGCCGTTGCTCCCGCTCAATGTAGTCCTGGTCGCCCGAAGACAGAGTTTTGATACTTGGATATACCGATACCTAGATCTTCCAACTGTGCAGAGTTTCTTCATTTCATCAGTTTTCAACCAGCCATTTCTAGGCAGAAATGTTGCACAGTTGGAAGATCCAGGTCTACCTGCGAGAAAATATCAACACATGCGAAGGGGATTGACCTGTAGGGAGAAGATACCAAATCATCATGATACGCATTGATACGCCAAACACCAGGATTTCATGTCCTTGGCAACTCAAACAAACCCGACTCTGGACGCCGACCGACGGGTCTGGTACCTGTCGGCTGGGGGGGTTCGTTCGTTGGGAAGCGTCATGAATCGCAAAGTGGTCAGGCTGAGAAGTGAAGAGCCTTTGTTCCTACCTAGTAGCTTGCTACTAGTCATGCCAGCGCCCCTAGCGATGCCCCTGCTATTAGTGGTGAGGATGCCTCCTAAATCTGAAAAGAGGAAACCCTGCCAGAGACCGTGTATTAATAGGTTGTACCCCCAAATGCTGGGGATCATCTCTGAGTCTCTGGTGCGGAAAGCTAAACTCACATGTGACATGAATTGGTGGCAGAACCATTCTGAAGCCTGTGCAGAGTTGCGTCCCTGAAAGCCTAGGAAACTAGACCCAAAAGGAACCTCTCCACTAACGTCTCCATATTTAAACTATTCTGCAAACCCCCCCTTTGGGGGGATTTGACCTTCGGCACCCAGGGTCGGCCCGCCTCCTCGAATTCGGCCAGCATGGCGCGCTGCGCCCGGCGCACTTCGGCACGGTGGAAGCCGAAGCGCCGGAGCCGTTCCAATTCCCTTCACGGCGGCGGGAACCATTCCCAGATCCAGCGGGATGGGGATTGGAACCGTTCATACATGCGTGGGACGTGGGACTGGACGTGGGTGATAAAAAAAACTCAGATCTGTACGGGCTTCATGGGATTTAACGTGAGACAAACTGAAGCAAAGCTTCGACCTTGCGGAGCAAGACCGAAGCGAGCAAGTACCGCGAGTGGTCGCAGCGGAGAAGATTCTCGGGGGGGAGTCTTCTGAGTCTTCTGTTGGGAGTACTGAAGAGAAAATGGGACATGGGCCGAACAAGAAACAGGTATACGACTGTGCCGGGCGAGGGATCGAAAAAATGAATCAAACAAATAGCAAACTTCAGGGGATCAAGAAAAACAAAAATGAATAACAATAAAAACGGACCCAAACGTGCAGAGGGAAGAGCACATTCGAAGCAGTGATCGAAAAAAACAAAATATATAGTAATAAACACATCAAAAAAACTAACAGGAAATGACATGAAATGAAATGAACATGTACATGAAATGAAATGAAAATGAAACAAAGAAGGTCCAAAGAAAAAATGAATGAATGAACGAAATGAGTGAAATGAATTGAAACTGAAATAGAAAATGACATTAGATATATAAAATGAAAATGAAAAGAAAAGAAAAGAAATGAAATGAAAAAACAATGAATAAATGACGGAATGAATGAATGAATGAATGAAAGAATGAACGCATGAATGAATGAATGAATGAATGAACGAACGAATGAATTAATTAATGAAAGAATGAGTGAGTGAGTGAGTGAGTGAATGGTTGAGAGAATGAATGTATGTATTGAATTGAACTGGTTTGAATTGAATTGAATTGAGCTGAATGAGGGAAGGAAGGAAGGAACAAAAGAAAGATAAAGAAAGTATACAAATAAGAATAGACAAGTGAACAATAAAACCAATATATAGTTGAGCAAAAAAGGACTGGCTAGTCCAGAAAGCTATACCCGAAACTATTTCTACGCTCACACAGTAAAAGCGGGAGGGGGCGCAGGGGAGGGCGCAGCGCCTCCCCCGCAATGTAACTTGGCACGACCAAAAAACAAACATCATGGAGTTTCCCCAATGAATCTTCTTTTGGTAACTGCAATGGTCTCTTCGCTGGGCATCTGGGCAACGTTTTGCAACATCGCATTTCAATTTCACAGTGGAGACCACAATGGTCAGGCTCTGGCTCTCTCATTTGTTGGTCGGTCACTGGGAAGAAAGCGCCCTTCCTTCGTTCCTTCCTTCTTTCGTTCCTTCCTTCCTTCCTTCCTTCGTTTATTTCAATGTTTTTTTGTTGATGCATTTTTGCATTGTTTTGATACATGTCTATATATTTTTGATGTTTTTGTATTTGTTTGATGCGTCTCCCGACTGTGCCCATGTTTAGGAGCACTTTGAGGGTCCAGGTTTTTTCAACTCCTCTTGAGGTATCCCAAACACTGGGATGACCCCTACCACCCCAGGTGATCAGTACTCTCCCACCCACTAACATGGAAGCCCTACTGAAATAATGGAGTTGGTCATACAAACACATCAATTACTCAATGAGGCAACCATGACAAGGCACTGTTCGATCATTCGACCCAGTAAGCAAACTGCCATCCACCGCAGTCGAGCGGATCCCTGCAGGTCCAGGTCCAACTTCACCCAAAGAGTAGATTTTGAGTCGTGCTTTTTTTTGTATGACCAACTCCAGACCCAGTAAAACATGGTGGGTCCTTTACCTCATGCTTCGTACTGTTTCTGGATGTTTCCTGTATGACCTGTGTTTCACCTGTTTTTTTCACGGTCGGTCATAGTACTGACGGGATGTGAAGATTCACTGTCTGATGCGTCCATCGGGCCAGGCCATCCAAGTCAGATGGCCAGGACCATCCGCTGGACATACCTGGAGTCGACCCATTCGTACCTCGGAAAATGAGTCCAAGATAGTCCAAGTACTCGTTTTCATAGGGGCATGTCCCGCATGTCCCATTTTCTATATGCTTGAAGTCGAATCCAGGTACTTTGAAAAGACCATCCTCAGTTCCATCATGCATTTCGGGGGCAGCCGTACCAGCGTTTTTCAAAGGAACGACCAGCACCTGCGGCCCAATCCGCCCTCTTGCGCCTGAGCATGCTGCGAAGCGCTGGGCGCACTCGTCCCGGGAGCGGTGCCAAGCTTGCACATAGGTTATTCCTTGGCCGAAAACCAGATGAACACATGCCGCGGACGCAAAAACCCTCCAAACTCAGACTCAGATCTGCCAGGAGTCTCAGTTTGTACCTCAGAAAATGAGTACAAGCACCTGCTGTTCTAGAAGTCATGTCCCATTTTCTAAGTCGGCTCCTGGGTCAGCCGGGTCTGGTGCACTGGCCCTCCTTTCTCCCAAGCGACAGCGCGGGGAGCGGATCCGAGGACTCCGTGGCGGCCGAGAAGAAGTCCCTTGCGCCACCTACGGACGCGCCGTGCCCCCGCGGAGCGGCGCCGTTGGGATGGGTTGGTCCGGATGGGTTTGGGGGGGGAGATACCAGCAGTTCGGAGTTGGCTGCGCGCTCCATGGCGTCGACATGTCAATGTGACTCCTGGTAGGTTGCGTTCTGACATTGAATCTGACAGATATTATCTTACTGACCAACGGGTTTGCCTTCCTGGCTGCTTCTTTGCTGTCTTCTAACGGGTCCGCGAAGCATCCCTTTGCTTCGTGGCTTTGGTCAATACGAAGCCTTGAGACTAAACCGAACCTCCTGGTTCGAGGAACGTCGGAGTGCGCCACTCAGAGCATCCGTCACTTGATGAGACCCATCAAACCCACCCAGGTCCGTGGACTCCGACAGCGGAGTGTCCAGTCGTACCGATGAATGTGAGACCAACACACTTGCTCATGTCGCCGATGGAGTTGCTCTATAGTCGTACCTTCCCCGGAGCACCGGGACCCACTGGAGGTGGCGCAACACGACCACGTCGTCTCGGGCACCTTCCAAGGGCCCCTGCAGCGTCAAGCGCAGCAGTCGGCTGCTTAAGGCGCGATGGAACAGGTCCTCTGTCATGCGACGCCGCACATCTCGCACCGTCTTCGCCGGAAGACCTGGGTTTGGCGCCGGGCCGCGGCAACCGGGGGCTAGCACCATCAGTCAGAGTAGGCGGAACTTGATAGGAGTTGTATGAAATTTTGTGGATATAGTGAGCCCCAAAAACGAGACGTTGTATTTACGGCACGGGGCCACACTGCACTGTGGGATCAAAGCCAGCTGACCCCCGACGACGTACTGTTTTCATATAATTCGAAACGTTTCTCCCCATGGGCACAAGGAGGACAGGTCGGTCCATGTCACTGACAGTGTGGCGAATGATTTCGACCAATGGACCACAGTGCCGGCAATGAACAAGAGTTTTGCTGGGCCAAGTGGCATCAGGTGCTCCAATGTTTGAAACCGGTCTACTCTTTGTCAAGGCCCCCCCTAGTCCAAAGGGCATTTCTACTAGGAGCAAAGACGCTACTTGTAGCGGCATTTTTGACTCCTACATACTCCTATACCAACCCCAAGGCTCATCCCAGTACATCCCACTGCGCAGAGGAGAGCAGAACAGCAACGACCGCACGTAAGAAACCGCAGATCTTTCGCAAGGACCGCAACATCAAGATGACTTCCCACCTTTCAAGAGCATTCTCCCACTTCCAAAACCTGGCACCGGCACCTTCACACCGCCCAGGGACGGGGGCGCTTGCAGTCCACCATGCTTTGTGCAAAGCTGAGTTCAGGATCAGTGCTGCTCGCCACACGCACACCCTCAGAGTCCGGCACCGCATACCTGGCAGAGAGCTCGACGAGCACACGTGGCGAGCACGACTCGAGGCGACTCGCATCAACCACCAAGGTGGAACGGCAGAACATCGCACGGCAGTGGGTTCAAAGCATCCCTTTTTAGGGGTTGCCTGCTACCTTCAGGCTGTGTCTCCACACATCAGCTAACCGATAGGATCTGTGGATTTTAAGGCTTACGCCTGACAGCCGGGCGCCGACACAGGGCAAAAGTAGGACGGTAGAGGGGATAGAGGCAAAAGACATGAGGCGACGGGGGGCCGGGACGTCGGGCATCCCGGCAACATCCTTCAAAGTGGAAGGGGGCTGACCGCCCGGGTGTATGTAAGAGACACCGAGGGTCGGGAGAGCCGTCGCTCTCTCTCTCTCTCTTTCTCGTTGGCTTGCTTAGGGTCTCTTTCCCTCCATGTCTTTCTCCCTCTCTTTCCCTCTCTCTCTCTCTCTTTCGCCTTTTGTTTCTGTCGCTCTCTCTCCGTCTGTTTCTCTGTTCTTTCTTTCTTTCTTTCTTTCTGTCTGTCTGTCTGTCTGTCCGTCCGTCCGTCCGTCCGTCGGTCTGTCCGTCGGTCTGTCTGTCTGTCTGTCTGTCCGCCCGTCCGTCCCTGTCTGTCTGTCCCTCTCTGTCTCTGTCTCTCTCTCTCTCTCTCTTTTTCTCTGTCTCTCTCTCTCTCTCTCTCCCTCTCTCTTTCTCTTTTTCTCTCTCTCCCTCTCTCTCTCTCTCTCTTCGAAACTGTGTGGGGCCTATGTGGCCACATCTGAAGCTATCTTATCCCATTTAGGGGCTACTCTGTCCCTCTCTGTCTCTGTATCTGTCTCTGTCTCTGTGTCTCTCTGTCTCTCTCTCTCTCTCTCTTTGAAACTGTATAGGGATCTGGAACCTATGTTGGGTCCTCTGGCAGGTCATCTTGGAGGACATTTGCCGCCATTGATGTTGGAGCGCGCCCGACACCCACGAAATGACGATGAATCCTGTCCGCGCGGCGCGCATTACCGACACCACCCTTGAAAAACACAGCATTTTTGCATGTCTCCTTCTTCGCCGCGTCGCATTTTCCACGCGTACAAAACCCTGTGAAACACAGTGTTTTTTGCACCTCACACACACGCACACGAAACACTCTAAAACACCGTTTTCGGAGGTGGGTCGGGGGTGAACCCGAGGTGAACCGGGGGTGGTCGGCGGCAGGGGGGCGTCGCTCCTTAACCTTCGGTTACACCGAAGGCCCTCCGGGCGCAACGCGAGCTGGCCCAGCGGCTGCCCGGATTTTCGTTTGGACATCCATAGGGTGCCGCACCACATCCTGGAATACACTCCAACCCCAAACTCGGAAGTGGAAGTCTCATGATTTTCCCACCCCTCCCCCCGCCTGGGTCGTCCAGGCGCCTCGCTCTGCCGGGGTAACGGGTCGATCTCGCTGGGCGCGAGGTCGAAGAGTTCCTCGGCGGGACGCGGGACGGTCACGGAGAAGACCCCGGTAGAAAAATCGGGGATTTTGGGGGATCAAAGAGCAAATCAATTTCAGTCTTCATGATTTGAGAAACCAAACCATGAAGTCTTCATGGTGCAAAATCAGGACAGTATATACAATATATAGTCAAATCTAGCCTGCAACATGGCATTCAGATGCATTAAGCCTGTCTTGTTGCCTTGATCTTCTGCTGGACCATCTCCTCGTCAAAGTCGCCGACCGCGATGATCGCCATCTGTGCCGGATGGTAAAACCTGCGCCGCAGCAGCACGCGGCCCGACCCCACAGGGGACAGTCCGCCCGACCGAATTGAATCCAATGGACTGATGAATGACTAGCCATGCCCTATGACTAGTCCGTCCAAAAAAACAAATACTTCCAATACTTCTAGAGTCCAGAACAAACACCGCGTATGGAATTCTAGTTGTGTGCCTGGCCGGCTGCTTCTCCAAGGGCCGAACATACTGTAAAACAATTCCATGACAATGTAGCAAACACGAAAAACCAAAAAAGCGCACAGTTCAATGTAACAACACGAGTCACGAAGTCAGATGTCAAAAGCTATGAGGTCGCTGTGCGGATGTGTGCGGTGGCGGGGATTGGTCATGGTTCTTAGACACGTTCGTGAGACCTTTTGTCTGGGTGTCACTGGGTGTCTGATGTTTCCTGGAATTGGTGTCCGTAGGAGGCCTGAACTTGACAGAATGTAGAATGAGAGTTTCGCTACTTGAAGAGAAGAACATATTGTCGCCGTTTAGCAGCAGCCCCATTTCAAGAACCAATCGGATATGGACCTCCCCAAATTAAGACGAAGGACAAGAACGTGAACAAAAGTGTAAAAAAAAGACAACACATGCACAAGGAAACAGCAAGCAGAAAACTGCGAGCAAAAGCCCTGAAGATTACTGAAGACATTGTTGTCTTAAGAGTATCCAGTGATCGAGTTTACACAAACTGTCGTTTCATCTGCACGACATGCTTTCAAACCTCCGGCATCGACTAGGCATAAGCAGTGTGGCATCGTGTGCAAGACCAGCCGTTCCATCTTCACACTAGGTGATGATGCAATTATGTGTGTAGCCATGAATAAGTGTGACGGTGTGACGCCTGCATTGTAAATGCATAAAACACCATAAAACCAACCCCAAAAATGATTGAACATACAAAATTGCACTAACATGCACTGAAGCTCGCCCCGTGGCCCTGAAGGAAACTGCAAAACTAGTGTAAAAATATGCGCAAAAATGCTAAACAAAAGCAAGGAACACCACGGCCGTCTATGCACCCTGGTCCCTACTCATCCATCAATTTGTACACTCCGAGAAACGCTTCACGTATGATTACGTCGGTGTTTTGAGGATTATTTTGAGATATTTTGATATATAATATAAATGTGAGTCAACTGTATACAATCCTTCAGAACGTAGAAACCAAACACATCCAAAACCCCATTGCGTCGGAGGCACTTCTGATAAAACTTTCGAAGAGTCTCTGCGGAGACGCCACGAATGACCTCTTCTTTCCTGAGTTTTGGCCATTGTGGAAAGTCTAATCAGCACATATCAGCACAAACTAAAACCTGGTTGGGGGTTGAAAAAAGGTGCAACTGAGAAAGGGGTCACTAGTCATTACCCTTCAGGTTACCTTCAGCAGCCTGTTCATTGGTGTTGCAACACACACATCAGACCAAATCACCAGGCCAAACCAACCCACTTCTTCGAATGCATTCAGAAATGTTCGTCTGACCACGAGAACGGACTAGAACTCGATTGACCAAAAAGAGGTCAGGTGGCCCAATGGGTAAGCGCTCGCACCAACGACAGCCAGCTCCACAAAGCGCCTCTATCTTGCAGATCTGATGGGTTTGAACATCAGGAGAGATCCACAAAGCATTGGGGCATATTGGGGCAAAAGGATGTTCATGTTCTGTAACTGTAGACATGATTAGACATGCTGAAAAAGGAACCAACATGAATCACGTAGTATATGATCAACTATAGCCATTTTATATATTTTATGCGATTGAACTGCATATGCTGACATACTTATATATAGGGCGATTCACATTCAATCACCATGCCCCAAAATTGGTCCCACCCGAGACGGTCCTGGATGTAACGCTCGCTGAGACGGCCCTGCGCATTGCGGCTTTCGCGCCACTCCTGCTGTTGGCGGCCAATTTCGTGTGGACGGGTTGCACGGGTTTCTTCAGCTGTCTTGGCGCGTTTGGATCCAAGTTCTTCCGAACTGTATCCCCGAGCTTGAGATCATTGGGGATCACTTGGGGACTCCAAAAAGGTCACTGCGAAGAAGCTGTCTTTTCCCCTAAGCAGTTTACTACTGTTACGAGGTTCTCTGTTAGAGAGAAACGGCAGCTGGCAGCTGGCCGCAGTCTCTGACCCAAACAGCTTAGTATGGTCGGCAAGACTTGAATCAAAAGGAATTGGGCCGCTTCCACTTTCCGCCTTCCATGAAAGACATGGAACGAAGCTGCCCGACCGAACCCGACCCGAAACCGTCGTGGACCCGAAAAGGTCCGTGCCGGCCGGCGAAGACGAAGAGAGGCCACCCCAGTCGGATTCGAGAAGGAGCGCGGGTCAATCTACCGGCCCTGGCCTGATCGTTTCCCACTGAGAAGTGGTTGATTGACCCGATTCTAGAAGGTGATGGGATCATGGGATGTGTCCATGTCCACTCCCTGAGGAGGAGTCAAGACTGGCAGTCCCAAACAGGTCGTGGTCGTGGTCGTCGTACGTCGTCGTATGTCGTTGTGTCTGGGATGTGTCCAGATGTCAAAGGAGAGGCTCCGCAACTTGAGCTTTTGCAGTTGTTGGTCATGTCAATTTCCCTGAAAGCCCAAGACCATCAAAAAGAATCATGGACCTGGTGATTATATAGTGAAAAAATTTTAGAACAAACAGCTCAGTGGTTCGGGATTCAAACCATTGTGTTCATCATAGGCCAGGAATCCTAAGGAAATGGCGCTGAAAAAGGGCGGTCGAAGTCTCAAGCCGTCTCTCTTTTTATCGTCTTTTGATATTCGCCTCTTGATTTGGACATCGACTTCGTAGAATCCACGAGACGTCGTACCTCGTCCAATGAGTATCCAAACACTACTGGCGTCCAATGAGTAGCAACAAGAAAAAGAAGAAGATGAAGAAGCTAAGAAGGATAAGATTAAGAAGAAAAAACCAAGAACAACCCACAGGCCCCATGAGTCGTGGTCCTCCTAAAACGTACAGGATCGATGATGAATCCTCAAACCTCGATCGATCAATCGGTCCCTGGAGTCCTCAAGGACCACTTTACGCTCTTTGTCGAGATCTTCCTCTGAGATTCGCGTGAAGTACGCAAACTCCCGCAGGACTTTCCTCGATCGATCGGCGATGTCGTGCGCGTACTTTCGAAGGCTGAAACAATTCTCTAGAAGTCGCGGGAGCTGGCAATTGTTTTACTTGTTTTACATACCTAGACCCTCCAATGTACCCAAGAAAATGGGACATGGTGACATGACCCTAGAAGAACAGGTGCTTGATGGTGCTTGTACTCATTTTCTGAGGTACGAACTGAGACTCCGGTATGTGTTCTTTCTTTAAACAAAAACGAGGTGTTGGAGGTCTGACCAAAGAGTGGGCGTGAAAGTCGAGTGTCCCTATGAGTACACCGGTTTACCTAGTCCCAACCAGAAACAAATGGTTGTTCCAATACCCAAACACTCCATGTATTGCTTATTAAGTTGTACATAAATTATGGTGGTTTCAGGGGTCAATGTATATAGGCATATATTTAATGGCATATTCATATGTATCATACATGGAGTGTCTGGGATATGTTTCTTTCTCGTTGGGACATGTTGGGACTGGGTTTCCAGGACCAAATGTCACAGACCAACAAGTAGAGGGGCGGACGACGGCGCAGGAGCGTTGTCAGAATGAACGGCCTCGCAAACCAACAGTTTGTTGATTGCTTCGGGTCTGAAGTACTGGAGCACATTTGAGGCATGTATTAAAGTCCATAATATGCCCTCGCAAACTTGTGCTTGAACTTCCCAGTGGTGCAGACATTGCCTCCGCTTTGCTGCAAAATGTGTCCAAGCTTTTGCGCAGGAAAACCTTTGAGCTGCAGGTTTCAAAGGAAAGATGGGGCGGGGATCATTTGTGACACATGACTGGACACTCTGACTGGACGTGAGTTCACGTGCGTGTGAGGATTGCACACTATAGAAGAAATGAAAAATTGAAAACAACTTACAGAAACAACCAACTCCAGTCCAAGTTAGGACCAAAAAAAAAGGTTTTCAGGCAAGCTTCAACGATTCTTCCACCAAGCCTTCCTTGTCAGTTGGCACATGAAGCGTGTACCTTAGCTCTTCGCATCTCAGGTCGCCCTTGAACTCGGCTAGAACTCGAAAAAAGATGCCTGAAAAAATACTCATTCCGAGACGCACAGTACGGTCAAAACTGGTATACGCATTTTGGCATGCACCGAAGGGTGCACCAATGGATTCCAAGAACTTCACAATGGCATGGTTCTCGTAGGCTTTGGTGGCCGAGAACCTGCAAAGGGGCAATTTCAGGGGCGGAAGCAGAAGCATGGAAGTGGAGAGAAAACCACTGTTTTTAAGTAGAGGTAGTTCTCCCTGGAACCCCCATCAGGGGCAAAAATGGACAAATGTGTGTCGCAGTTTTTTTTGTATTGGTTTTTTAGAGCACAGTATAGAAATGTATGGAAACATCAACATTCCCCTGGACCCAAAAGGCTTTGGAATTACGCGGTATGAGAGCCATTCACTTCACTCCGTATGCAGGTCGTTGCCTTCCAATTTGGATCCATGATAAGGAAAAGGGGTATGCTGTGCATATGGTTTCTGCTCACAAGTGGAGCAGAAACCAGAAGTTTTAAGCCTGTGGAATCAAACCTGTAGGATCTTCAGGCCGTTGACACCGTTGAGACATACAGGTCCAGTCTGACCCAGGCCCAAACCGGGTCTTTTACCCACTTAAGTATTGATGTAATGTTTTGTATGACCATCTCCGGTAAAATAAGCTCAAACTAACTTGTAGGATGAGAATACATGGTTACGACACCCGTGAATACCCCCGTCAAGAAGACGCTTCGTCTCTGAGACTTGTTTGAGTCGGGTATTGAAACTGTAAAAGGTTAACCAACCAACTGGCCAACCCAATGAGCAACAAGGAAGTTGCAACTGACCAACCACCTGGCCAACTGTTGATAATTGTTTATTGGATTACAGTACTATGGATTACTCCTCTCTGGCCAACCAGCCATATCCTCTCAAGTGCGTGTTCCGTTTCAGCCGAAGCTTGATGAGTTCTATCTGAGGCAGACATACCCTCCTCCTCTCCGACAGACTTTATCCACAAGTGAAGAAATACAGTCGAAACAAACATGATTTGACAGCTCTTTCGATCGCACCATGAATTCATTTGTGTGTGTGTCAACCCCTGTACCTAAGGGTTCCACCTCACCGTTTGCTATTTGATGTTTTTTTCAGCAGGGGCGTCAGGCTCGATACACCTACCTGACGCAACGAAGCTCTGGTGTATCAAGGGATGGGTGGACTGATCATCCACCTGTACCTGCTTCAACGGTTGAGCAAGCTGTTCCAATCCTCCTTTTTTGATTCCATGGTGGTTCATGATACTTCCCACAAACCATTTTCCTTCCGCCGCTTTCAGTTGCTGCGCATTCGTGAACTGCAGACAAGTGAACAATTTGTTAAACATTTCAGTTGCGCTGACCTTTTCACCTTGTGTTTCCCTCACCTTCCTTCTCAGCTTGGGAATTGAGCTAACTGAAAACCAATATCATTGTGTGAATCGCTCAGCCGTCCCACTTGGGTGCTGGGTGTGATCCTCCGCAAGGAGGCGCCGTTCTCATTCCAGAATGCGTGTAACTGATTCTTCGTTTCCACCATTCTTTGGATTTTCTTAACTGACTTCTTTTCACCAATGGATTAACTGCTCCAATAGCCGCCGGCTTATACGGAGAATGAACCCAAACGCGGTTTCTACCCCAAACACCCCAACCCCTCCCACCCACTAATTAGGGTAACAGAGGGAAATGGTACTCGGCACACTTGTGTGTCGGTGCCTTTCCCTCTGTTGTCCCTTTTCTAGTCTTCTCTACCCGGGCGGTCTAAGACTAAAGTCCCGCTCCCTAACTATTGCATTTAATTCACTTCCGCTAAGTAATCAGTAATTCTAGAGTGCTAAGTATTCATACACACACACACGGACACACACATGTACATACACCTCCCTGCCCCCCCACTTTCCTTCTTGCGCTTTTGGTCGTTTCTTGGGCTTTCCCTCAGGCTTTTTAGGTTGCTCTTAAGGCTCGTTTCCCTACCCCAGTCAAGGGCTAAGTACTCACTTTTCTCTACTCCTACCTTTCTCTCTTGCCCTCTTAGCGCTGCTCTTTCTGTGTTTCTTTCTTTTGTTTCTAAGGCTTTTTTAGGTACCTATTCAGGTCGTTCGCACGAGCGCCGCAAAGCGGCACCGTGTGTGTGTCAACCCCTGTACCTAAGGGTTCCACCTCACCGTTTGCTATTTGATGTTTTTTTCAGCAGGGGCGTCAGGCTCGATACACCTACCTGACGCAACGAAGCTCTGGTGTATCGAGGGATGGGTGGACTGATCATCCACCTGTACCTGCTTCAACGGTTGAGCAAGCTGTTCCAATCCTCCTTTTTTTGATTCCATGGTGGTTCATGATACTTCCCACAAACCATTTTCCTTCCGCCGCTTTCAGCTGCTGCGCGTTCGTGAACTGCAGACAAGTGAACAATTTGTTAAACATGTCAGTTGCGCTGACCTTTTCACCTTGCGTTTCCCTCACCTTCCTTCTCAGCTTGGGAATTGAGCTAACTGAAAACCAATGTCAGAGTGTGTGTGTTCGTCCTAGTTATTCACACGGCGCTCCTTGGCCATGCACCTGGAATTTCATCAAAGCTCCTAGGTGTGCACCTAGCTTGGGCCCCCATGGATTAAGCTGGTCTGTTTACTCTGGTGTGGTGTGCATATCTTGCGTATTTTGTGTCTTTAGTACATACCTGCCCTTGAGGACCCCACAAAGATGGAAGGGCTGGGAGGGGGGTGACATGGATGTGTGGGTAGAGGAAAACGATCTTTCAAGAGGCCATCTTGGGCCTACTACCGGCAACCGTGGATGATGATGGTTAGTAAAGGCCTTGTTCAATAATAGTAATTCTTTACTGGCTGTTGCAGGTAAGTTCGGACAGACCCAAAAGGCGATGTTTCATCCATGCCATCCGGCCATCCATGTGAGGTGGTTCCAATGTCTCGATGGCAGTGCTGCGCAGCTTGGGGACTCAAGGTTAGACATTTGCATTCGTTGGTTGACAGCAACCTCCTTACAAGTAGAGCTCGAGTTCCGAGTGTCACAGGATTTCACATAAATTCACAGGATGTCACAGACAAAGTCAATACATTCTATAGTTGCTGTTTTTACCCGTGGTCGAATTGATGCTTTCACCTGTGGCCCGCTGGGTTGGTCGTTACATGCATTACAAGGCTTACAAGGTATCAAATTTGACTAAATTAATTGCTCAAAATGTCCTTCCAACCTTGTATGGGTGTGTATCTTAATAGGGAGACCCCCCTTTCTTGCCTGGGAGTTCAACTGATCTCTCTTTCGTTGGATCCCGCGAACCCCGAACCATTTCAACGCCTAGTTCTCTTCAGCCACACACCCATACCCATACCATACCTGTGAATTCCCATACCTTCTGTGGTCCGCAACCACAAACATGAATCCGTAAACCGGTCATCCCGAGTATATCCGAGTCATCCCTGTTGCTAGCTTTGGAACATGGGGCCCCCATCACAGCTGTTATATACCAGCACCCGACTTCACAGGTCACCGACCGACCACCTGCGAGCTTTGAAGTCAATGAGAAGACCTGTTGGAAGGTGCGAGGCGTTTGTGCTGACGCCTTTCGTGATCACGGTACATCTGTTGTAGGGGTGTGCAGATGGAGGCAGTCAAACACATGGAAACATCACAATGTGAGGTGGATTTCCATTATAGTAATACCTTTCCTACCTAGACCAACCCACTCATCAACCACAACCGCAGGACATTGGAAAAATATCTGGTAATTGGTAAACACGCCTGTAACTCAGCCAGACCATGTATCATTGCATAAACCTCCATGATCGATGAAGCGCTCAACAATTCCCAAATCATCCACGTGCTGTGCTTGCTGCGAGCAGCCCAAGATGTTCGATGATGTGAGCGATTCCGCGCTCCTCTTCTTCCTCCACAAGGGATCCAAATCCAACGGCCAGGAAGAGCTCCGCTCGAGCTTTGGGCTCCTTGTTCCTCAAGAAATGGCGAGGCTCGGCGGCTGTCCCACGCATTCCCACGCCACCCCATGGCGTCCATGACACAAGTCAGGTCCAGCACCACGGAGTTGGGTCCTGGATTCTTCATGTCGTTTCATGTTTTTTCCGGCTTCCGAAAAAAATCCAACACGGACCTTTAGTTTTGCTTTCCATCTCAGACCCCTGTCTTGCTGACCGTCTGACCCTGTTCTTGACAGGACCAGCTGCTTGAGAACATAGTACGTGAGCCCATTCCGCAACACTCCTCGACCGGACCGTCCGCACCGTCCACGCCGCGGCTGCCACAAGCCGCGGTGCGGCGCGACCGGGCACCGAGCCGATCGTCCAAGCAGCGTCGGCAGAAGTGTCGGATGTAGGGACGGGATGTTTTCTTCAAAGCCAGACGTGTTTCCATGGGACTACCAGGTTACCATATTTTGAGTGTACCTTGGGGGGGTCTGACATATGTTCATATTCCAGTCCTAAACAGCTCTTCACCAACGCACGATGCACGAAGCTTGAAGCTTCGACCCTGGAGATGATCCAGCTGCGGAACCGCCTACCCTCCAATTCGCCTAATGAGCGGCCTAGAAAGAATTTGTGGGGTCATGTTGTATGCCCATGCCCATCCAAGTCTTCGACCAGGACACCATGGGCTTCCACCGGATGTCATTCCCCAGAGCTTGTCTCTTTTGACATCTTTTGACCACCTTTGACCCAAAGAGTTCCAATGTGGGTCCTAAATGTCGCAAGGAACTTGGTCATGGCTCTCAAACTCATCCTTTCAGCTTGGAACCCTCACGCCAGATTGGATCTCTCCCTGAAAACATCTTCTCAAGAAGCCCTTGAGCATCTTGGAAACCAGACCTGCGCTTAGTTAATCAAGTCTTCTCGCTTAAAGACCAAGTGCTCTTCTCCAGAAACCGTTCAACCCCTCGTTCCGCGTCCTGTCGCCGTCTTGGGAGGCAGCCGTGGAATCTCCTCGGCATCCTCTAGCCCATGGCGAGGCCCCTCGATCAGCGACCGGAGATTCGTGAAGGAGGCCAGCAGATCCTCCTGGTCAGTCGGTCTGGCATGCAGTTTCTTTCATTGGATGGATCAGTCCTGTCGACGTCGACGTCGGCTTCCTGCTGGCTCGATGGATTTGACTTTTTAGAATGGAGGTGGATGTCAAACAGACTCTTGATGGGGTTGCAACCCCCCAAGCCTGAACAGATTTTACAATCCAAATGTAGGGGAGACGTGTATTGATCAGTCTACATTAGTGTACCATAGACCAGACTTAGTTGTACAGGACCGGGGGTATCCCCTCTATGGCCCCCTATAAGAATCCCCAACCGAGGCCGTAGGTCAGGCCATCTAGTTTCGTCACAGAATGGGCGGTGAAGCCAGATTGGCTCATCTGTGTACGTATACTGTGAGAAAGCCTTATGGGAAAAGGCCACCACGAGTTGTGTCAAGGCAAACTGTTTTGATTCTGAGTGTACGGTCTACAGTTGCGTGATTTGGGGGTGACCGCAAGATACAACCCCCTAGTGGATCCTGGCATACTTCCTCAGAATGTACGGCTGCACCCTCCAAGTGTCGAACATAGGGAAAGATGTACCAATGATATATATATATATACACACATATATACACATCCCAGACACTCCATGAGGACTACCATCTTTGCCGATCAGGCTAGGGGTGGTTGACTTGGGGTCAATGTAGTTCAAGATCATCCAGGTCTTCCACTTCTTCCTCACATGGTTTCGTGGAGTTGGGCACCACCCCCTTGTTGACGTCCGAGGATCATCGTCTTCCGTCCCACAGGCCCCCCGGAACCGGGACGCTACGATAGGCTCGGGGTTGGGGGGCTGGATGACCTTAGGACTAGGAACGCGGACGCAACAAGGAACCAGGTCATCCAGCCCCTAACCAGGACCATCCTGTCCTAGTTCCTTAGGAGTATCAAAAGGAATTCAGTTTGGAACATGTACATCACTCTAAAGCAAGATACCAGGAGCATCCTGTCTGACTGGGTGTTCAATAGACTATACACTGTTGATGGACCTCCAAACAGGACACCCAAACAGGATGACCCAGGAAAAAGATGATATAATGTGGATGAATATACCGCAAGCCAATGAGTCATATAAACCATATAAACCAATGGGTCATTGTCTGCAAGCCATTGGTATAATATACATGCATATAACATCATATAACCGCAGGCCAATGTCCTCAGCTTCGGGTCGTTCAGCCTCCATGTTGGACGGACGCTGATTCAAAACGACCGATTCAACAATGCACGAGAGTTCCAGCAGAAGAGTTTCTTTCATGTTGAGCAGCCGATTTGTTTGTTCCATGATTATGTACTATATTTGAGTTGTTTTGAGTTTCTATCCCAGATTTGTACCATCATGTACCATCTTGCGGGTCTTGGGTCTCGAAAAAGCTCTCTTGCCCCTGCTTCCTTGGTCTTCCTGACAGAGTGTTCGATGTGCTTCTCCGTTCGACGATCGGGTCGGTACAGTCCGAGAAAGACCCGTCAGTCCTTTGGTCATCTGCTTTCAGACTTCTGCAGTGTTCATGGTTCATGTTTTATACATGTTCATGCCATTTCATGCCAAGGGCTCAGCTACGCTATGCTTGATCCACATCGATCAAAAGGCCCAATCCCAATTCCGTTGAACGGGTTCTCTCACGGCCCCTCGGCCGTGGTGCTGCCGCCCTTTTTTTTTTTCTCAGACCACGTTGGAAAGAGTAGCTGGCACTTGTCAGCACAGCATGATCACAGGACACAGCAGGAAGAGAATGGCCTTGGTGGCTCGCTCCTTTTTGGGGGGGGGCGACTTACTTTTGACCCTTGACCACTGCAGTGCCATCAACCATCCAACGTCTTCCTTACTTAGGAATGCAACCATTAGATTCTTAACATTATGATTGAAAAAAGACTTTCGGAACAGACAAACCGGGTCAACCTTCAATCTTCCGAAGACTAGGCCAAGGTTTTAAGATGGTTTAAGTATAGTCTCACTTCAAGCACTCCTCCAGGAAAATAACAAACGCGGAGCCCTCTGTGAGATGACTGGCGAAGCCAATTGAATCTGTGGCTCTATCGCAGAACACCTGCCCGCCTCTAGAACCACAAACCCATTCACACCTTGTGTCCAGATGACTCTAAGGTGTTTACACTGCAACACGCAAGTCTCTCCTATAAATATAAATAATAGCGATGGCCTCCAACCTACAAGCGATGGCCTCAACCCTAGAAGCGATGGCCTCCAACCTGATAGCGATGGCCTC